CAAATTTCGCTCTAAAATTAAAGCACATGCATTGAAAAATACGTTGAAAATCGCTCTATAACGTTAGGAGCGTTGTTTTCTAGCAGAATGTTGCCAATATCAGCAACAGACCCACGGTGATTAGTAAAGGACCGGTTTACAAAACATTGCCCCGAACCAGGATCGAACTGGTGACCTTTAGATCTTCAGTCTAACGCTCTCCCAACTGAGCTATCGAGGCTCTTACCTTGCATTTCGTTCTAAAACGTTAAGAGCTTAGTTTTGTAGCAAGCACGGCAAATTTCGCTCTAAAAGTAAAGCACATGCATTGAAAAATACGTTGAAAATCGCTCTATAACGTTAAGAGCCATGTTTTCTAGCAGAATGTTGCCAATATCAGCAACAGACCCACGGTGATTAGTAAAGGACCGGTTTACAAAACATTGCCCCGAACCAGGATCGAACTGGTGACCTTTAGATCTTCAGTCTAACACTCTCCCAACTGAGCTATCGAGGCTCTTACCTTGCATTTCGTTTCTAAAACGTTAAGAGCTTAGTTTTGTAGCAAGCACGGCAAATTTCGCTCTAAAAGTAAAGCACATGCATTGAAAAATACGTTGAAAATCGCTCTATAACGTTAAGAGCGTTGTTTTCTAGCAGAATGTTGCCAATATCAGCAACAGACCCACGGTGATTAGTAAAGGACCGGTTTACAAAACATTGCCCCGAACCAGGATCGAACTGGTGACCTTTAGATCTTCAGTCTAACGCTCTCCCAACTGAGCTATCGAGGCTCTTACCTTGCATTTCGTTCTAAAACGTTAAGAGCTTAGTTTTGTAGCAAGCACGGCAAATTTCGCTCTAAAAGTAAAGCACATGCATTGAAAAATACGTTGAAAATCGCTCTATAACGTTAAGAGCAATGTTTTCTAGCAGAATGTTGCCAATATCAGCAACAGACCCACGGTGATTAGTAAAGGACCGGTTTACAAAACATTGCCCCGAACCAGGATCGAACTGGTGACCTTTAGATCTTCAGTCTAACGCTCTCCCAACTGAGCTATCGAGGCTCTTACCTTGCATTTCGTTCTAAAACGTTAAGAGCTTAGTTTAGTACTCTGCGTTGATACCACTGCTTAAATTAAAGCACATGCATTGAAAAATACGTTGAAAATCGCTCTATAACGTTAGAAGCGTTGTTTTCTAGCATAATGTTGCCAATATCAGCAACAGACCCACGGTGATTAGTAAACGACCGGTTTACAAAACATTGCCCCGAACCAGGATCGAACTGGTGACCTTTAGATCTTCAGTCTAACGCTCTCCCAACTGAGCTATCGAGGCTCTTACCTTGTATTTCGTTCTAAAACGTTAAGAGCTTAGTTTTGTAGCAAACACGGCAAATTTCGCTCTAAAAGTAAAGCACATGCATTGAAAAATACGTTGAAAATCGCTCTATAACGTTAAGAGCGTTGTTTTCTAGCAGAATGTTGCCAATATCACAAAATCTTCTCAAAAAATCTGAAAAATCATGTACTAGGGTTTTCGCGCACGCCGATTCCGTTACACAACTTTTTATGAGTGTTTTCAGCTTTTCTGACGGTGTGATTACAGTTCCGACAAATGCTGGTAACTCGGTTATTACGATGTACCTGGGATAACCTAGGAACGAAGCATCAGAGTCAAGTGGAGGTTTCATATTCGAAATCAGCGGCTTCCACTACCGTAGTATAAGAGTTTTTGGCTTGTTTGGTTTTGTTCCGAGGCAGAATGGGGCTTCGAATGGCCTAAAATCATTGTCGAAGGTCCTACACCTAATCCTAGAGTAACGAAGGTCGATCGGTAGTTCGCTCGACTCTGTAAATCTAACAATAAGTTGAGGCCTCCTCTACAGGATGGCACTTAAATGGCTGAAAAATACACAATGGGAAGAGAGATATTAACGATTGAAAAGTGTGTACTTACTTTTGGGACACCCTGTATGCTGAAGGCACAACCGCTGTAGCGAAAATGGGATAGTGATATCTTGTTGGCATCTAATTCCATAGTTTCATGGTTGAAGCAGGATTCACGATAAACGCAAATAGAGAGTAGCGTTTCGTAATGAGTTAGAAAAATAGCTACCCTAATTTCACGCTTGTAAGGCGCACTTTTTCGAATTTTCAAGCGAGCCGCTCAGCCGCTTCACTGTATGCCGGAAAGAAATCCTTACATCGCACGATTCTCTCAAGCAATATACAGCACGTTATAGGGTTCTTTGGTTGTAAAGTCCTTTGGCTTGTCTGGGCTGGTCAATTTTGAAAAAATTCCCCATGCCTTATACGCGTGAAATTAGGGTAATTCACTTTTGAGAGATCGTTAACCATGTTTGAAAATATCCACTTCACCTGGGAGGCTCGATATTGGGAATCCTCAGAATTCGCTAAACTTGGTCCATAGGGGTTATTTGACATAATAATTACGAATATGTTACTACAGAATTTGCTAACTGCAGTCTCGGGAGCACCAACATCTCCTTTCCCGCTCGGACGCCTCGCTGACTCTGCACCTCTTTCGCGAACATGAATGGGGATGCTGGCGCACCCACACTGCAACTGATAAGCCCTGTATCTTGCTAATCATTTTTAATAGAGCATTTATGTCATGCTTGTAGGCAAATGAAAAGGCTCCGGGTCAGGAGTCACACCGCGCGCGGCGACCTCTCGTCGCACCCAAATTTTGTGCCTCATAAAAACTCTCCGGTGCTAAAGTGGCGCAGCGCCACAGTAGGGAGGGGGGGGGGGTGGTAGGAGGGTCGTACCCGGCGGTTTGTGCCACACCTCTTGCTCGAAAGTGGTGTATCCTTCATGATAGCCAAAGCGAACCTTTGCGAAGCAGAGTGAGGCACTGGTTGGTATTAAACACGGTTTACAAAACCCCGAACCAGGATCAAACTGGTGAAACTTGGATAAGTCTGACGCTCCCACTATTGGTGGCCCTGCAATCAACATTTTACGAAATATTAATAGCGTTTTTTATAGCTCAGCGCCGGATTCACAATGATTAGTAAAGGACACCAACATCGAATCCGTACTAAACTGTTGAGAGCTTTGTTTTGCTGCAGATTGTGTCAATCTCACAAGGGAAGGAATGTCGGTTAAAGTGACCTTTCAAGACGTGATGTATAACATCTTAGGACTTCGAACGCTGATTTCAATCTGCCTTCCTGATCTGTGTTTCGTCTTTGGGCGAGGAGTTACAAAGGTTTTTATGGGGCAGAAGTCGACACAAGTACAAACAGGAACTGAACAGTGTTGTTGCCGTCTGGTGTAATGGTGAGCTTGGTGGTCTTGCAGGCAGAAGACCTAGATTTCCCTGTTCTGGTCTTCGTTTTGCTGATCTACAAAAAACTTGTACGAGCATACATCGTCCATATACCACTCCTTTCTTATATTAGAATCCCAAGGCAATAAGTGGTTTCTTAGGAGGTGCAAGTGATTTGAAATGGAGGTAGAAGTGTCAAAAGGATCAATTTGGCACGTACCACTTCCGTGAACATGAGAGATTACACATGCTTACACATATTTCTTGGCTTATCCCTGGTACGACAGCGGCTACAGTCTGCCCCAATCCTAACCAGGCCAAAATTGGCATGGCGGGAGCCCGCATCGCTAAGTTTTCGCGGCCCCGCCCACGGCCTGCTTCTCTGCTCTCTCTTCAGTCCTTTTGCTCTCTCCGACAGCGCCTATGCAGCGCAGACCGCTTGCGCTGCGAGCGCGCAAATTCACGCCGACGATTCGGCCTGATCCCAATTGGAACAGACTGTGCCTTGATGCACATCCAGGAGATTTTGGAACGCCCGCACAGTACTGCTTCTCCATTGTGATAGGGACTGTCGGACTGTTCAGATTAAGAATTGTTAGAACTGTAAAATAAATTAAAACTTTAACTCAACTGAATTAGAACTGTTCAGAATTCGGACTGTTCAGAAGTAGTTCATTCGTTGCTTTCATTGTGAAAAATGCCTATGCTTTTGCACATTTTGTCCTCTCCTTTCATCAGTGCACATAAACCTTTAAATAACATCGAGTAACGAAACTTCTTCAACGAGATTTGCCATTAAAAGAAGGAAGGGGTGGTGTATAGATGCTCATACTTATACAACTTTTTTGTAGATTAGCAAAACAAAACTAGAATGGGGAAGCAAACCGGGGAGCTTCTGCCTGCAAGACCATCATGCTACTCACTGCACAAGACGACACACAGCAATGTGCTGTTCTTGATAATGTACTTGTGTCGACTTCCGCCACCCAAAGCCCCTCATAACTTCCCTCCCAAAAACGGGCCGCAGATGGAAGGCAGATCTGAAATAAACCTTCGAAGCTCTATAAGATGGTATTCATCACGTATTGAGAGACCACTCCGACTGCCCTTCCTCCTTTGTCAGCCACATACATTGTGACGTCGGTTCACATTCTCGCAGCTATTCTTCTATCAGCCACTGTACTATCCACCGAAAAAGAAGTAATATTCCTGTTTAATATCAGGTAAATCATTGTATTAATTTATTTGAACATTTTAGACCACTCAAAATAATCTTGGTAACTCCTCGAATAGTCATTTGAATGAGAAAACGCTTTATTCGAATATTTGTTTATTCGATGAATCGAAAAAACACTTATTCAAAATTTTATTCGAATATTCGAATATTCGAATGAAATTTCGAATAAGTTGTTTTTTCGATTCGTTCGAGAAACAAATATTCGAATAGATGTCATTTTCATTTACTCGACTATTCGAATAATCAGATAAATGCGTCTTCCTGAATGCTCGACTTTTCTCGTTCGAATAAATCATTCCAATACGAATATTCGAAAAATATTCGGTCCTAAGTACGGAACAAAACTTGAAAGTTGAGAAGACCCTTCAAAACCGAGTGACGCATCATGTGCAGCATCGCAACTTGTTAACTGATACAACTATGGGACCTTTAGCGTCCAAAAATGGGTGAAACAATTCTGCACTCAAATCAAGCTCCTAATTTTTATCAACCCATTATGAACGTTTATTAACAAATACAGAATGGAAGATAGAATTCCGGTGTTTCTTCATTGTGCTTGAATGGTAGATTACATCGAGTCCATTTATCGTGACGACAGCGTTATGTCTTCGACATACGTCGTCCCCTAGGAAAGGTGTTCATATACCCTGCCCTAAAACCATTAAGAGTAACTGACTTCACTTCCCGACGTTGTAATCGTGGAAAACTGACTCTTGAGTGCATGTTCATGGCAGTACCTCTAAACGACAGTGTACAAAACTTTAAAACACAAAGGTTTTTACTGCAATTTCTGAACATAACATACGTGTCCTTCAGGTCTATCGGTACGACAGAGCTCATGAAGTTTCTCGTCAAGCTCGACGCAATGCAGCTGAAACAAGATTTTTAGAAATTTTGCTTGTTTGTGGAATAGTTTAGAGGTGATAAATATGAGCATGTAGGCTTTACGGCTACATCGCCTTTATAGAACAGAAAAGCTCGCAACACTGTTTTGGAAGACGTTTTTTCTTGGCTCCTGCTAAGAGGGCCTTCATACCGCGTCGTAGTCGCCGCTAGTCGCCTGTAACCGCTTCTGCGCACTATGCCAGTATCTCAAGGTTTTTCAAAACTTCGAAAGGTTATGCTCTTTGAAATCAGCATGCTAAATAACCCCACTAAACCAATGAGCAAAATAGTGTCGATTTGCACGAATACTGGTATAGTGCGCAAAGCGGCTAGCGGCCGCTGCCGGCGGTATGAGGGCACCAGTGGCATACCGAGGGGGGGGGCGTCCCCCCCCCCCCGAGAATGGTCGCGAAATTTTTGAAAGTTACTTACATGGGTTATAAAAATGTGCAAGTGACTTGTTTATTTTTATAAATAATTAAAATAATTTTTAAAAATTTTTAAAAATTCTAATTAGTCTTGTAAAAAAATTTTTTTCCAAATTTTAGGGGTCGGGAACCCACAAAAGTTTTGAGAAGCACCCCAAAAAATTTTTCGGAGAAAGTGCGTGGCTATCGCCACGCACTTTCTTTAGAAAAAAATTTTTGTCGCCCCCTCCCGAGCCGAAATCCTGGGTACGCCACTGGAGGGCACCATGAGCTATCCTCAATTGCAGTGTCGACAGCACCAGCAACGGATCTGCGCGGCCGCTTCGCTTGAGCTTAAAAAGCGTTCCCGAACGTACTCCCTGACCATTCTTCCATAATCAGATCGCAGTTCGACTTTAGCCCTTTCATATGCTAGGCTGGAAGAATGACCGAAAAAACGTCAATGAACGCGGTGGCCGCGCGAGAACCGAGCTGCTAGTGCATGCATTAAACTGGAAGTGAAATAGCCTGTGTCTTGTACCTCGAAAATTCCACGAAATCACCCGTAATGTCAAATAAATGGTTAGTCTGTGCAATATTATGCTTTGAGAGGGGGAGGGGGAGGAGGCGAATGGCGTAGCTGTTTTGGGCGCCGTGACCAGGTTAAGACAAGTTCTATCACGTTCTGGACCAATCAATCAGGCCCTTTGTTCTGGGGTGGTAAACTGATGTCGAGTAGTCTGGGAGATAGAGCACTGACTTAGGGCCGCATGCACTAACCTCTCCGCTGGGGAGGGGATTGCAGCTTAGAAGAAAGCTTCATATTCTGAAGCTCCAGATATCTGGATCTCACGTTGTGTACCTATCCGTAAGTATTCCTACTACCCTTCACTATGAACATGTTGAACAGGAGCGAGAAGCTGTACGAACCGCATTTTCCAGCTTTTGTATGATCCCTGATGATCCCCGGCGTTTTTCTTTAAAGTCATTTTTCTTTCTCCGAAGTCAACGAAAGACTTCCAAAGTTGTGCAGATTATCTAACCCAACAGTGCTAAGCATGTTGCTGATGAGAACAAATGAGTTTTTGAAAAGTCGAATTTTTTGGTAAACCTCAAATTTCGACCTGTGGATCATCGAAAATTTCATGACCTCAAAACATTATTTATTCTTATCAGCAACATGCTCAGCACTGTTGGGTTAGATAATCTGCACAACTTTGGAAGTTTTTCGTTAACTTCGGAGAAAGAAAAATGAATTTAAAGAAAAGCGCCGGGGATCATCAGGGATCACCAAAAGTAGGAAATGCGGTTTGTACAGCTTCTCGGTCCTCTTCAACATGTTCATAGTGAAGGATAGTAGGAATACTTACGGATAGGTACACAATGTGAAATCCAGGTAATGGACTGGCCTCCGCAAATCACTGCGAAAGGCCTGCACGCATTCGGTAGCCTCTTGACTATGAAGTAAAATGCGGCCTATGCCCACAAGAGTATTGTGGATTACTTCATTCATTTTTATATCACGCTTTTTGGGAATCAAAGTCATGAAAATTTTTGTCCGTAGAAATTAAGTCCAATGCGGTGTCCCGACAAATTCTTGACTCCAAGATTTTTCTCCGGAAAGCATCTAGCGTCTATCAGTTGTACCAAAAATTGCTCTATTTGCCCCCTCTCCCCGCTCCACCCACCCCTCCAGTTCAAAAGTGCTTTTGACAACAACTTATACAATTCAACACTTTTGAAAGGCGAGTTACATATGCGAATGCAGAAAGCTGAAAATTAACTTGTTACCTGGGCTGTAGTTCCTTTCTGCCTTTGTTCCTTAATTCTTTCTTGTAAACGATTACGTGCTACTTCCATGCGGTTCATTGCATCTAGCAGATCGTCATACTTTTTGTCCCAATCTTTTAGTTGTTTATGCATTTGGAGCATCTCCATTTTCAGCTGCTTTAACTGATCCTAGAGAAAAGAGATATAAAACCCATAAAATTGAATTTTTGACCATTTTCAACTTATCAAATAGGAAAAGTGCAGCCCGCAGGAAAGTTTGAAATCGTGAACCTTATGCTCTTTCTTTCTGCTTCTAGTTTCGGCCAACTTTGCGTCAACCCTGTGTCTCATTTCCATAAGCATGTTGATATTGTACTCGATATCTTCCGAAATGGTTGCGGAAAGAGTGCCTGTCGCACAGAGCCTTGAGTCGCGTAACAACATCTAAAATTTTTCTTACAGTTGTGGAAACATGTCCCTAGCAAGCCGAAGTAACCTTCTCTTTCTGCTCTTTCAAATAATCTACCCATCTTGCAATCCTCTCAGCTAGCTCATTCTCTTTCAAACGTGCTTTTTCCACACGATCGGTAAGTTCAGTGATTTGAGCAGAAAGCTACAATCAGCGTTTTTTGCTTGGAGCAAAGAGATTCTTATTTTTATTGATCTACGTACCACGCATGTTTCATTATGTTGTTTTGTCTTCTTATTCTCTTGATTTTCAATCTCTTTTTCAAGAGTGGACAAACACCTCAGTAGCTCTTCATGTATTCGACTAATCTTATTTTGCTGGAAATACATTAATCTCTATACCACAAAGTTTCTAGAACCCTAGAAAAATACTCACTCGGGAAGAATCTCCCTGCGCATTCGGTGATGCTTTAGCCTCTTCCGCTCTGTTCTATAATTGTTTTTTTATTCAACGTATCTACGCAGCTAAGGACCACTAGAGAACGTACGGAAATCAAGATGATCTATTTTAGTGAATTTTAGCGCAGATGCAATATACTCCAAATCAGAAAACCCGGTTTCATTAGAGACAAGTCAAGGTGTTAACCACCACTGGTGAAGAGCGCTTCAAGGCTCCTTAGGCAAATTCGGGTATCCGAGTTTCTTATAGAGCTAATTAGAGTCTGCACACCTGCTGCCCAAGCGTAGTGCAAATGATTCATCGTGGCCCAAAGATGCGATCGGGATTCCAGCCCAGATCATAAGATTTTGAGAAGACCGATCAGAGTTCTATGATAAAGGTACTGACTGGGCTAATTAAAATAAAGTTAGGTTTAAATCTACGGCTCTAATGACTCATATGAATCTCCCGTTGGGAAGTGGATCAAACTAAGACCTCTCACGCAATGTCCAATGAGAAGTCCAAGCAATCACAACTGCTTGAACATGTCTTCATTAAGATCTCTTCAAAATATGATCATCTTTCACTGAAGCTTGAAATTCACCGGAACTTCTATCATGTACAACTCACCAAATTTATTCGGCCGCTCGGGTTCATTGCTCAAATAGAAAGTGATTCGCAATTCTTGCTCTCGGATTCGATAGCTATGACCCGCATTATCACTATCCACAGTATGAGTAGTGAGGCTACATTTTCCTCCATTACGAGTGTGCCACACATTCGTAAGAAACACAAAAGAAAACGTTCAAAACATCTAAAGTGAAATGCCTTTCACATATGCAGTCTGCCTTTTGTTTTCCGCGCTATTCATGGTTTCTGGAGTAATACTAAGCTGGCTGAAGTTTATTCCTAACTACAAGACAGAACCGTCCCATCCTCGTCTCGTATAAAGCTTTTCCCACTGAGCGCCTATCCTATGTGTATGTCAAGAGGCGCGATTCTTATTGCCAGCTGGACACCAAATAGCACATAACAAGTGTTCTGCAACTTCCTAAAAGTATATGAAATTCAGAAGAAGATATATTAGAAAGTTGCATGAGTTGTTCAATCTTGATGCTCTAGAAAAAATTCAAAACAGCAATTTTGAAGGTTAACACCCATAAAAATGCATTTCAATACATTTCAATACAAATTCGTAATTATTTCAGTGCGATTCGTAGCAAAAACCATGAAACTCAGTAAGTGGTGACCTAAGACAGAAAGTAAGCTAACGCACTTTATCTGGTAATTTTTGAAGACACGCATAGCACTAAACTAAAGTTTCAAGTTGGTGACAGCCGAAGAAATCGCGCCTCTTGACCGTCTCCCTAGGCAGAGCACGGTTCCAGCCTGGAGTAAATCAGGTTCTATAGCCTCGAAAAAGAATCTGGATTGCAAAATCCTTTAGCCTCTAAAAGCTTTGAAAATTTTCAACATAGCTTATTCGAGTTTCATAAACGAAATTTAGAGAGTGTGATTATTTACAAGTAAAAACAAATACTCACATAAATCAGTCAAGTCCTCGCCTATGGGAAATTTTGATTCTTCGTGGGTGAGACAAACAAGTGAAAAAGGTCTTGGTTGGCAAACGTATTTGATATCCAGTACACTGATGATTTAGGAGCGATAAAGTGATTTTTCGGAGGACAACTTACCTTTGATTAGGGATCGTTCAGACCGAGCCGGAACCCGCCCAAACCCGCCAGAATACGTCCGAACCCGCCTAAACTGCCAAAGCGCAGCAGGTTGCATGCAAATTGGCATATTGGAGCACGCGTGCGATTGATCCTTCTAATATCGGAATAGTTGCAAACAGGGTTGAGCAAGAGGTCAGGCACAAGTCTTTCCAAAACGACCCCCCCCCCCCCAGTGAAAGCCCCTAAACGACCCCTCTGCTTCACCTCCAGGACCTCAGGCTGTGATAATTCGAAGAGATCAGCCGTTTTTGGGAGGTTCTTGTTTTTTGGAGGTCTGTAGGTCGACTTTCTGCGATTGCACAGCACACGCAACTTGACGGCAAGTTTTGAATTTTGGATAGCCCTACTTTTAGAGCTATAATTCCCACAGGGGTGTATTGTTTGGCTCCATATTTGCAGTATTGCAAGAAGAGGCTTTGAGTTCAATACTCATAGCAGAAATGGAGCGATTTTTAGATTTTGAAAACAAGTTAATTGGGTCAGGCGCAACCCCTCAAAAGCTCAGGCGGCCTGACCTTTTGTGGGGTTGCGCCTGACCCGATTAACTTTATCATTGAAGAAGCTTTTTTATTCAAGTTTTATGTGAATCGCTAGCACAACCCTCGAAGATTCCACAGTAAGTGTTTGGACTTGATTCGACTTGTTTCGGCCTTGTGGTAATCCGTGGAGTTGAAGCAGTCATGGCGAAAAACGCGCCGGTCGGAATTTTGGCATTATTTCTTACTCCATTATTTGCAAGCGATACAAAGCGCGATTTTTAGCCTAGACTAGTAGGGAACAATGCTTTGTTATGAGTACAAAAAAATTGACTTTTCTCACTTTTGAAAACAAGTTAATCACGTTTGAAAATCACGCTTTTTAGTCGTTGAGAAACACTAGATAATGCAGTAAATAATGGTTTGTAGGGCTCATAGAGGTAATTTGACGTGCTCGGAAATGATACCCATTTCACACAGCAAGCTTCCTTGATGAATTTATAATATGTCAAGGTAGAAGATGAACATTTGAGTTTTAGCCGAAACTTCGATTGTGGAATCAATCAGTATGCTGTTTAAGACCGTTCATTCCTTCAGTACTGGTGAGGTCGCGATATCCACTAAACTAGCGCTTTTCTTCTTCACCTTAATCGTAGTATCTCCTCAATCGAACGAATTCGATTCCTAATCACGACCCCCCCCTCTGTCTTACCCCAGTACGACCCCCCAGGTCGGGCGCGCCTGACCCCACGCTCAACCCTGGTTGCAAAGGAAGATCGGTATGTAACGTCGAGCTACGTGTGAATAAGATATATGCACTACGCGCGCAGTATTCCGCGCCTGCTCCAATATGCCAATTTGCCGCATATCCGCTGCGCTTTGGCAGTTCCGGCGTTCAGGCGGGTTCGGGCGGATTCGGACGTATTCGGATGGGTTTGGACGAATAATGGCGCGGTTCGAACGATCCCTTAAGCCCTGGCTATACGTACAGCGATTTCATCGCAGAAGAATTTTGTGATTGTAACGACAAAATCGCGACTATCAAATCGCTCATCGCGGGTTCTGGACATACCTACTACCTGTTCAGCGATAAGGTGAAAATACACACCTCAGCACTCCTTCTACGTTTTCTTTTGCCATCCAAAAGCAGTATTTAGCGTGATTTCTTTACATCTGAAGATTTTTTCGTCTTTTTTCGGTACCAGTACGTCCCATCAACATCTCATATTAGTTCGCGCATTTACATCTTCATTCAACTTTTCGTGTTAGATACAGGATGCAAAAGCAATTTTCTCATGTTGTAGCTGCGGTTTGCTGATTTTTCGCGAAATTCAGATACCCAAATACTACGCATGTTATTCAATTACGGGTTTCGAACAATTAAAAATATTCATTTTGAGTGATGGCACGAATTAGAAAAGACGCGCATCACAACACGATAGAAGTACAATTGCGAAGTGCAAAAGGTGCAAAAGGAGATCTGCATCACATTTCAACATCACCGCAGAAAAAACAAGTCGAAAAGGAAAAGAACTATTTCAAAAACTTTCAGGGAAGAAATCCAATTCCAGCGATATCGCCCCGTCGCAGGTTTCAAACTTGCGACGCGATATCGCAAGATTTCGGTCAAATCGCGGCGGTATCGCTGGAATAGGTATGGCCTAGGAAAACGGTCAGCGATCCGTCGCGCCGGACAGCTAGCACGACCGTTATGCATAATTTGCCGGCATAAAACAAGGGGTATTGCAGTTGTCCGACTGCACAAATCGCATCGCGGTGATTTTTTTGACGGTATGGCCAGGGCTTTAACACAATTGACTTCCACATACTAGTAAAAAAAAGTTGAGATGAGAGGCACAGGAAGATAACCTGACAAGAAAGATCCTTGGAGGACGCATGTAATGATACCAAAAATGCAAAGACTGTTGAGAAAGCTCAACACAAGTTTACCACATGGCATCTTCAGGCAATCCACCAAAAAATCATCCGGTTTTCACCATAATTTTTTTGATTCCGAGCAATGACATCTTACACTTATATCTATCGCTATTTCCAAGTCGGGAGTTCTTAGACTCTGAAATTGTTCCAAACGAAGAATTGAAACCAATACCGTCGGCTCACAAAGCACAATTTCTTGGAAAAAATTACGGCTGCTTGGAACAAAGAAATTGTCACGTCATTCATATTTGAGCTGTTTGCATATCAAGCATATTCTTTGAAGCGCAATGCATTAGCAGAAGTAAAGTTATAAGAAGCACACTTTATAGAAAGAACTCCGAAAGCACAGATTTACAGAAGTGAAAAGAAATTGCTGTTCATTTCCACATGCAAACAACTTTCTGCTTATCACCGCTCAGCAGACCATGACCAGACGGATTCCAGCTGAGTGAAAGCACAGCATGCCTAAAAGACTCGTATAACTTGCTCCAAACACTTTCGCACAAAAAAATCTACGTACTGATGTCCTCCTTTATGTAGCACCTTCTCTAGCTTTGTGGATTGTATGTTCCAGACAAAAACGCTTCCATCGGATGATCTTGAGCAACATTTTTACGTCAGGTTTGAGACAAGAAAGAGAGAACCCTTACCCGGCAGCGCAATACTGCATGCCAGGGGAGAGAACACATCGTGACAGATCACTGGATGTACGATATTGCTCGGCGCTAAAATCACGATTGCACTCGCCTTATCGAGGTAAATATAGAAAGTAACCTGTAGATGTGCACAGTCTGGTACTTTCGAACGTCAATCAGGGACAAAGTGTCGTCTCTAGTGGAGCAAAGCAGATAAATACCATCTACAACGCAAATAGAATGTTTCAAACCTCAAAAAATGATAGCTCACCAGATGACACATTCAAAGAGGTCACTTTTCCCGCTAACTCTATGATATGCACTGGTTCTTGATTTCTGGAGTCCCAAAACCGTAATTTTCTATCGAAATGGCCTGAAAAAAAAAAACGTTCGAAAGACTGGTGCTAGAATGTTCAACAGCTCTGACCTGAGATGAATGAGGATGCTGCTCTATCAGACCCAACTATGTCAAGGATAGTAGATCCAGGAAATACAGATCGCACACCTAAACTAATTTTGCACAACGCAAGAAAATCGCAATTAGAAAAATATTTACATCTTTGACTCCTCACGTCCCAAAGCTTTATTAAGCGGTCGTTTGAGCCAGAAACAACCTGATGGGCTGACAGAAACCGAGCTGATGATACCTTGTCCGAATGACCCATGAATGAGCACTGCAAGCCGACAGAAGATTTGCAAAAAAAGAAAGCTAAGATTTGAATGAACGCGTGCTCACCATTAACCTTTGATTATCCACATTCCACAACCTGACTCCATGATCGTTGCTAGCACCGAGAATAAGTCGCGAATCACTATCAAAGTCAAGACGTGTCACTGCATTATTGCAACCAACCAGAGTGGCACTAAATACTGAAGCACTTGAGAACGACAATCAAGATGGAAAGGACAGAATAATCACATTTTTGCAGGAGTCCCTCTTTGATCTACCTTCCATATGCGTACTCTCTTATCACTTCCACAGCTAGCGTATACGTCGGATGAAAGCCACAAAACATCGTAAACCTCTCCATCGTTGACCTCCTAAACTAGTAACAGTTATGTATTCAAATCGACTTTTTTCATTTTCTGCTCGAGTTTTTGGAACCGTCTGTTGGACTCAACGATACAACAAAAAAGGTGGTGATGAACATAACCTACCACTTTCGATAAGAGCTCCCGTGGGACAGCGTCACCAAGTACAACATCGCCTATGGGCAGATTAGATAGTTGCAGCGCAGCATTTCTAAAACTGACTTTCATGCTTTGTGCCCTTGATGGCGAGACCATCAAAATGAATATGAGAGAGTGATATTTCACAGTGATACTACCACAGAACAGTGGCGGTCCCAGGATTTTCGGGGGGAAGCGCGGAAAAATTTTTTTTCCAAATGAAGGTGCGTGGCGTCAGCCATGCACTCCGAAAATTTTTTTGGGTGCTCCTTAAAATTTTTTCGGGCCCCAGACCCCCAGACTCTAGAAAAAAAAGGGCGTGGCGTCAGCCACGCCCCTGAATTTTTTTACAAGGCTAATTCGAATTTTTGAAGAAATTTTGAGAATTATTTTGATTATTTACAAAAATAAACAATTTTTATACCCATGTAGGTAAGTTCCAAAAATTTCGAGACCCATTCTCGGGGGGGGGGGGCGCCCACAGAACATGTAACACAGCAGATAAATAAATATAAATATGAAAGTTATGCGCGAGATATTAAACAGTGGCTGAATTAAGCTGCTGGCGTCCGCGTCCAATTTTGACAAGCTGCGCGCAAATGCCATCGAAAGCTCGAAGAAGGGTTAAAAGGGCAAACAAGAGTGAGCTACAAATATGACGAACAAATTTGAATATAAAAAAAGAATTGGGCTCACACCTCGAAAAAGATTTGGTCTAAGAAAGGATAAGTTTGCTAAAGATGATATGAAACAAAAAGCATACACTTTGTCGTCTCTAGAAGTATCCTCGCATGCTCTGGCAATTTCTTCTCGGATTTGCCGCTGCCGCCGCCTATAAACTTCCGGAATTTTCCACTTTTCGAGGATAATGGGTTCCAAACATACTCTTGTTGTTGATCTACTTCCGTGTTGAACAGATTGGCATGTTGCTCATTAAGGTCACGAATTTTGTTGATAAGCACTAATCGTTCCTGTTGTTGCTGTACCAATTCATTTGATTTCGTTTCTAATAATGCCTGCAATGAAGAGTTCATAGAATCACACATTCTGATACAATGGTTCCTCACCGAAAGAGCTATCCATTCATCGTACAAAGACTGTTTGTCATCCAATGCCTTCTTGAGTTCACATTCCAGTTCACTGATTCGAGCATATAGCTTCTTAGTCTCTTGTAGTAGTTTGTCTCTCCTGAAAAGAGCTGGCACATGCTTCATAATACCTTCTTCTCGATAAGACGATCGAATACAAAGCTAAGTTGAAGTAAGCAGATGCCTCTTTTGACTGAATTTCGACAAAATAACGGTCCCGTTCTATTCGTGATTGAATACAATCATTTAGGCATTCCTGGTGTAAAAGGGAACCTAGGCGAGAAAGATTAATGGAAAAAAAAGAAACTGATTATTCAACACCGGACCGGTAACAGGATAACAGTATTGAAAGCGATGACATAACACCAATAAATCGAGAACAGTGATGATGTCCAGGAAGTAACATAATTACACTTAGAACCCACTCTTTCGTTAAAGCACTGATAGTGCGATCATGCTCGTCGAGTTTCCGATTAGCTTCGATAAGTGACTGGTCATTCCGACTCTTTTGTTTGTAGACTTCTGCAAGTTCTTCTCGTAGCTGCTTGAGCTCATCAGATGATGATTCCGGCGCTGAAGAGCTAAAAATTCATCTGTAGCAAGATGTAAGAACATTTTTTAGAATATACATACAAATATTCTATTTAGAAGCGAGTCTTACTGCCAAATAGTACCGTAACCAGAAGACATGCAATACCGAAGATAGTTTTGATAAATTGGACTCATTATTCAACAATCCACTTGCTTGTATATCTATTAGGCATCGAATTTGGTCAGAACAGAAATGGAAGATGATACTTCGCTAGATTTCCGGAATAGTTGTACAGAACTTCGTATTAACATTAACTTGCCCTATGCTAACAAATAAACTGCATGTGCTGAGAGTAAATAGATAGGTAAAAGATAGATCATGCTATTGCTTCGGAGATCCAGTAATCCTCCAGTAAACCACAACAAGTGAATAATTTACGACACAGACACACAACTTAGCAAGAATTGAAGCCTGTATGGCAAAGTCATCAAATTTCTTCAAGGATAATGGTAGAAAATACCACCCACTCATTTTCCAATCTTTGATGGTGGTCGTATCTTCTTCTTAACCTGATCAAGTCGTCTGACATGAGACTGTCTGAAAATAAGTTGAATTTATTTAGATTTATATATTCGCTACAAAAATTGATGGACGTAAAAGATCTTTTCTAATTTCTTCCTTATGTGGCATAGAATAAATAGTCATCCACCCAAACAACGCACACTCTATGCTGCGACGGCACCCTTTTAGGTCGCGGATGAGACGTACATGATTACAAGAGAAGCTGCGCACCGCCGCAAAGGCCGCACATGGCGCACTGCCTGCGTCAATGATAACACTATACTGAACTTACAATTTTTGAATATGGAAGCCCATGGTCGAATCGCGATGTTTCTTGCTTCGAGTCTATGTAAGATTTCTTCTCGGAACGACCCCATTGATGTGGATGGCCTCTGCTCCATCTAAGAAAAATAAACGATTAGAGAGCACAGTAACCAGATGAATAGTATATTTGCATCCATATTACACGGACGAGTGATATGAGAGATACTTTTACCAGGTCCCGATCATTCAAAAAATCGAAAAAAAAAATGTCTGCCGCGTGCCTGTGAGATAAAGCCCTAGTTTGTTTACTGCAGTGCACCGATTCTGCCTAGCATGGCCGATGGCTGAAAGGCATAGCTACAACCGACCAAAACAGATGTCCCTTGCCGATGCCACGAAAAATACGCGCGTCTCTCAGCAGGTACAACATACAAAATATATAAGCTCATCTGGAGGCGTTTCAGGCAAGCGTCATACTTGATCCATTTAATCCGCTTGATCCACTTCGCTATTGGTCAGATCGGTGAACTGACCAATGGCGAAGTGGATCAAGTGGATCAAGTGGATTAGGTATGCGCGTGCCTTACAGCTTGTATAACAATTTTTGAAGTTTATACTTTCTTCCCTCGCTCCGTCATTCTGGGATCTCCAAAGGGACGAAACGAAAGAATCTCTACTGTTTCTCCCAGCTAGACATAAGGTGAAATGATTCAGTTCATTTACCAAGGCATCGACAAAGGAAGAGATACGCCCTCAATTCCCCGAAATGGAGATTCGGCGCATAGAGAAAAACAGCTTGATAATCGTGTGTGTATCAACGTAGGAAATGATAGAAATCAACCAAAATTTTTTGTAAAGTAATTGGAACCAAGCGTTTATGTGAGCAACTGAATAATTTTATTCATAACCAGCTTGCAATATTTTGCACGTAAACACCTGTAGGACAAGCGGAACACCTCCAGCTCAATTTGGACGTGTTTCGTCATTCTTCTTAACCATGACGAATTTTAACACAAGAATTCAGGTTTAAAATAATAAAATCAAAAAAAAATGCATGTTTGGCTGTCACAGTTTTTCGCAAAAAAAGTACAGAATATAAGAAGGTTTTTCTCTAGTTCAGAAAGATAAAGATTACTTTTTGCTCGCCTTCGCAAGCAAATCAAGATTGTAGCAGGAAATGCTTCCGTAAGTGTTCAAAAACAATAAGATGACGTATATGTTGTTGAAAATGCCATAACAAACGGTAGAAATTGAGCATCCAAGCACAGAAAGAGTCCACAGAGAAAATCAGTGAGCAAGATGAGTTCAAAAATAGCTGACAATGAAGTCTTCACTATGAACAGGGAAGAATTCAAAACTGCCTTACAAACATAGTGTTGCTCTTAAGCAGTAAGGACAACTAATATTCAATCATAGTTAACTTGAAAATACTAGGAGTAAATGGACAGAGAATGAGTTTGGGAAATCACGAGCCCTACACCTTCTCCAATTTCGTGCATTTTGCATATTGTACGGCTGCTCAATAAAAGAAAAGACAAAAAATCAAAAGCAAACTACTTACCTCGACAAGTTAGCTTTTGTACAAATAGGAAGACCTCCGAAATCAAAACAATGGCACTGATTAGCGGAAGTCAGCTGTCATCATTAGCATTTGGCGTGAATTTGAAGAGCGTCGTGCGGTTGCAGACGTCTTCCATTTTTGACGGCATTTTAAATGTCATTGCAATGAATGGAACCCTGTTCTTGCATCACTGGCTTTCTCTTGGTCCTTATCTCGACTTTTTTCTGGAGGGACGTCAGGCAGGAGGCAGCAAAGGCTGGCCGCATTTGCTTCTGGAGGTGCCTGGGAAGCCCTAGAGTTTCTCGCGCCTCTAATCATTCTTCGCACCTTTGATTACATCACAAGCAAGAAAATCAAAAAAAAGCTCCTCAAAGAGTATTTTACTTTAGATCATGTTAAAAATCTTGCAACTTCTTTCAGTCTCAGCTATAGTCGGTTTCAGCCTACAGAAATCGGGTTCAAAGCAGTTTCCGTCAAAATTCTTGGAGGAGAAAGGATTAAGGCTGTCGCAAAAATAAAGAACGTGGCTATCAGTCTCTGAAGTCTTTATTTTCGATCGGAATTTTCATGACGAAAAAGTTATAAGAATAAGCTAAATAGTCCTGTTTGAAGATTTGATAGATCAAGTTATACTTCCATATCCACTCAAAATTCTGACGTTTATACCGCCTTCGATGTTGAATTGGTCTAATTCTATAAACCTTTTTTGGAACTTACAATTTCATTCGCTTTGAATATGAAACATAAAACCTATATCTCGCAACTACCTCACTTAAAAAGTTTACGAATAATTGGGCATAGGCCATATCGAATAGATTCTTAGAGGTGCGAAGATGTAATTAGAAGCGTGAGGAACTCTGCAGCTCCTCAGGTACTTCCAAAAGCAGAAGCGGCAGGCCTTTGCTGCCTCCTGCCCGACCGCCTTTCTGGAGTGATATGCCAAAACTTTATTGTAGTATGAAATCGTACATTATTGTTGACAACTATACTTTTCTCTTCACGTTATCCGTCAATAGACATCTAATCGTTTGCCCATACATTTCAATCACCCGAAATGTATACCAGCAGTTTCATAGTTTTACTTGCAAATTGAGCGTACACAGTTTATCAGAACCAGCAAGACTTTGAGATGAGATGATTTGTTGTCGCGTCAACCTTCGATTTTTCAGCTGCAAGGGATGAGTAGCGTCACAGTGCTCTGCCCGAATGCCAGGCGATGCACTGTGAAGGTTACACCGGGAACGCTTCTGAAGCAGGTATCCGTCGTAGATCGCTTGCGAGATCTACAAACAAATCAGCTTTCAGGTGCTTGAAGAGGCTTGTCTGAAGGAGGGATTTGAGCTGGATGCTTTCTATCTCACCAATCAAAAACGACGAGTAGATCTTGCGTTACCATTCCGGTAATTTCCATTTTTCAGTTGTAATCAGTCCTTCAAGTACATCTGTTCACGCCATTTCATTCTGAGACCGTCCGTCTTAAAAAAGCTGTGAAAGTGTTGCTTATCTAGTTCACATGCCCTAGCGTGCCGCTATTATGTTTACTTATTTAATATGTGAGTATTCAGTGTCTCACAAATCATATATAAGCTGTCTGATTCGCTAATCCAACTACACAGACTGCTGTGCTTATCAAAGGCAGAAGCAGTTACGTCTATCTAATAATGGGGTTGTCAAAACCTGCATGTTGAAGTCGCGAGGAAAAAATCCGCGGTGTGAGCGGTGTGCACTATATGAGTGATGGCGTTCAGTCGTTGGGCGGGGGGGGGCACTTGTGAATTCATTTTTTGTTGAACCTTTTACTGAAAATTTCATTCGGAAAGTTGACAGTTTATCTTAGTACGCTTGAGCTACCGCTCACCTATTCGGTGCTAAAACTAGACAAAGCAGTTGTTTTTATATGTAGTCGCTTTGGAAACGTATCCAAAATATTCTGATGCATGATTAGAATACCGGGGCAGTGGTTCTGCAAAATGGACCCTTCTCGGATATTGGTGCAGGTAGTATACCTTCTAAGTACACTGTAGCCCAAACCCACCTGTCAATTTATGCGCTATGTCCTGCAAAACGCGCTTCAAAACCCCACCAATGACCCTACCAGCCCCGCCCACCTAAAGTGGGCGGGGCTGGTGGAGATTCAAAGCTCCTTTGCAGGAATTAGGTCCTGGATTGAAATGTGGGGTGAGGGCTACAGTGTATTTGGAGGATCTATTACCTAAATCCACCATGATCCTAGAAAGGTCCATTTTGCCGATTTTCTTTCAAGAATAAAGTACTTTTCTTAGGCTCAGCGGCTTACCCAACAATGCAACTCTTGAAATGGTCCAGGCTTCCGGGGCAGGCGCTGGAGCTGTGGCTACAATCGCGTTGCAGGTTTGTGAGATCATCAAACTTCATTTCGATGCCTGGTGTGAATAGGTTTTCCTTCGATATCGTTAACTTATTTCTATCCTTAGTATGAATAGGTTCCCCTTCGTGTTCGAATGGAAAGGCAGTTTGCTGTGAATGAGTCTCTTTGGTCGATGTTGCAAGCTTTCTCGGAAATGTTTGGTGAAAATTTGACAGCATCACAAGGCGAGCTTGTCCCATGTTGTTTCTATATGAATCGTCAGGTATATTTGTTTCATCTTCAGCTATCATATTTAGGTTTCGTTTTTTTTCTAGTACTCGGGTGAAGAAGAACTCCAACATGTCACACTCTCTTCCATTGGAATCGTCTCGGGAAGATGTTTGATCAGGTATGCTTTTTTCGCACAGATTCTAATTTTTTTTCTCATCGTGTAGTTAACATCATCGTTTAATCATTTTGGTAAGTGTAAGATATCAAGGTACCAGCGCTTACAACTTACGGATGAACAGAAAGCTGAGATTGCTTGGAGACTAGCAGAGGACGCTGCGAAGAAGGAAGCTTTGTTATCGCATTACGCGCAGAAGAAAACTGAGAATGAAGTTAGGGAACGGTTGGAAGCTACTAGATTAGCGGTATGCAGCACAATTTAGAATTCTGGTATTCGAACTAGTATTGTGGATGTTTTTTTTTGTTTAGCAATTTGAGGAGGAAATCCGCTTGGAGCGAGAGAGGAAGCAAGCAGAGCAGCCCCAGTCATCTCATTCAGTCCCACAGAGTGTAGCACAGTGAGTAACTTAACCTGGTTTTCCGCATATATTAAGCTTTTCAAGAGTTCAGTTAAGGCCTGTCACAAATCCGTTTGTTCGAGATGTGCTGGGCAGTCCACCTCGGAACCAAAGCGGATGGTAATGTTCTGTATCTCGATTATTTTTTGTTGAATCGAAAGGCGACTGTTTCGAAGGTCTTTCGACGCACCTATGTTCTCTACAGCACCCGAAAGCGCTGGTAACGATCGCTTATCTAACCTAAATAGACTTCTTCACCAGGTTCGTTTGCCTTTTCTTTCAACCTTCTGGCTAACTGATCACGACTTAGGTGGATACCTCACTAACCACTCCAAGTTTTCAACAAAGCGAGAGGATAACAAACATTTTGGCAGACCAGGGAAGAGTCCCTCTTTCACGTCTAGCTGTTGAAGCTATGGAAGAGGTGTGAAGAATTTTTATCGTTAGCTTTCGAGCGGAAAGTCCTAATTCTTCGTTTAGGACACAACAAATGCAATCCCAGCGGCATCTTCCGTACCTCCATGTGATCGTCAATCTGTGATATTTTTCCGGGAGTGAGTTTTTGCCTATTTTAGTGCCTCTCAGTTGTATTTCGTAAGTTCTAGTTGTAATGCTCGTCACATCTCATTTCGATATGTTTTTCCTGCTATGAGTTGTGCTTCTTGTGCACTTGAAATTTTTTGGTATCAGGCATATGTTGGACTCAAAATATGGTCATTTCGAAATCCCGCAATTCGGGAATCAGTCTCTTCCACTGACATCGTTACTTGAATTGTTAAATTCCTCAAATATGTCTTCCAGAGTTGAGCCCGATCAAGTAGATTCTCAGCTAACTGAAGAATTTTTTGAAGTTGGTATAGATGATCTGAAGAGTCGGCAAAAGGAATTGCACGAAGAAGTGTGAGTAATCTGATACGCTGAGAATTTCTGCAGTTCGTTGCGTCACAATTGGTGTTTGCAGGCAAATGCTGACTCAACGAGCATTGGTTCCAAAAGTGTACATAAGCAGAAAAAACCGGGAAGCAAAACTTGATGCATATCGTCATACTGTGATTCGCATTCCTATCGGACAAGAACGGTTGATTCAAGCAAATTTCAATAGCGGAGAACCAGGTAGCTTATCTGCAGCCTACTTTGAATACGTTGTGAAGATCATTTTAGTCTCACGTCTATATGAGTGGGTGCGCAGTGTGTTGTCACGGAACGTACCTTTCTCCCTTCATCTAGTCCTTAATGAACCGGTGGAAGATACTGATGCAAAGAACTTCGTAGATATGGACTTGGCGCCGAAATCAACGGTCTTTTTGAAGTTGAAAGATTCAAAGATTAACATAGGTAAGGGATCCACAGTTAATAGGTCTTGCACAATGTGAAGGAAGTGTTCAGATACGTTGATAAGTCAGCGATTGCTCGAATGCACCAATGAAGAAGCAAACAAACTCAGTGCTGACTGGTAAGTCCATCATTATTGGTAGATGTTCAAATATTGGGTACTTTTGCGGGAGCTTAGAGTTTTTAGCTGTAGACTTCGTCAGAGTATAGTTGATTCCGCTAGAGCAGTGGGGCAGATTTGGGAGCATCTCAGTTTCAACGGATTACGGCAGAGAGCTCCTAATTCGAGCCATAGTGCGAGAGGCTGCAAAATACCGCTTCTGAAGCAGAAAAATCGCTTCAGAAGATCCGACAGCCGTCTTTCGATTCATTCCCGTCTTTGCAGGAGAAGACTTGGCAGGACACGCTGCTGGCCAATAACAGCGTCACAGCAGCCGTGTACCGGCACGATTTCCTGTTTGGGAGATTAAATCAAAGGGTGGTTATGTCGAATCTTCTGGAGCGCTGTTCTTGCTTTGAAAGCAGTGCTTCACAGCCACAATTGGGCTATAGCTTGAATTAAGAGCTGCTGCAGTACTGCGCTGAAAAGGTGCCCCGAACTTCCTCGGATACTGCCTCTAATCCTGTCATTCGCGTCTTTTCTTGTTATTTGTTTACAAAACCAGAACTTACGATTTAGGCTATCGGTGAACACCATATTCACCCCATTCGTGGGTGTTGTTGTGGAAGGCGATCGCAATGGAAAGCGGCCAGCTAGTAGTGTTCATGCTACAACTTCAGAGTTCGTACCTCCACCACAAAAAGCAACCCCTGCACCCAAATGGCTGAAGAGATGATATATCATTCCTTAATAACCGCTTGTTTTATACTCGCTTGAGCAGTTCATAACTACGCGTAACTCATATGATTGCCTATGTACTCACATTTAGAAAATAAATTATTTTCGCCCAGCTCGCATAATGACTGCTTATCGAGCTTTTGATTTGAAAAAAGCAGCAGATGGCTCTTACTCAAGGAAACCGAACCCAGCGCCATGCATGATGTCTGTTTCATACAGTATCACTAACAGTCTATAATCTTAATTACGCTGCTTTTCCAAATGAGGACGGTTTGATCTGAGATTTAAATAGAATAGTTAACAGTTGCATGATGTACAATTTCAGCAACCGAGACGGATTTGTTTTGAAACTTAGACTTCTCGATCGCATATTTGAGAATAATTAGCGTAAGGAACTAATCCATTTCGACCTCATAATAGAAATGCTTACAAAGGAACCTGTTTGGTCGAAGTGGCCTTTCTTATTGGGATGTATACTATACTGAATAGCTTAAAATGCTAATTACAAATATGCCTTCCTTATCTGCGGAACGCCAAAGTCTCCCTAGCCCTTAAATAAAGCAACTAAATGTGATATATTTTTTATCTGGGAGTATCTACTGAATAAGGTGCTCTGATAATCATTATGATCCCAAAACGCTAGAAATACTATTGCGACAATTTTCGTCCTATATGGCTCTAATAAAAGCTCACTACTCCCCTTCCTGAATGTTCCGCGGATAAGGAAGGCAGATTCGGAACCAATATTTTATACTCACCAAAGTATACATCCCATCTAGAAAGGCCACCTCGACTAATGGTATCCTTGGTGAATTCTGAATTATGGTAATTATGGTATAAAGAGGTAAGAATGCAGTTTTTGACGGCGACGGCAGTGTCCCCATATACATCAAATCGAATTTTCAAATTTTACTGCAAAGGTTTATGTAAAAATTGGTACTGTCTGAAACAGGAATATATTTAGCGTAATCAAATGGATTCTAAAGGAGAATGATACGGTTTTAGCAAATGTAAACGCTTAGTTAAAACAGCCAAAATCTTACTCAACGAGCAAATATTAGATATATTTTACTAGATATATTCCGACTTCAGAGCAAATATCAAGTAAGCTATTGTCGGAGGTTTGAGCGAAGAATATTATTGAGTTCTTGTTCTCAACTCGAGCATGGAAGATCGCATGTTGGCAGTTTCCTCGGAATTCTTGTTTATGTCCCAGACATCACCCGATACTAGACAAAAGTAAATAAATAACTATCTTTACATGTAATTATTAGTTCGTACATTCGAATGCTTGACTTTTCTATTGGGTCGTTTGATAAATAAGTTCGTGGAATTTTATTTTCGTCATTTTCTTTGAGAAACCGTCGATCTGCGGCAAAATGCTGTATTGTAAGAAAGAGCTAATCCTTTTCTTTGAAATAAACTCATTAATTTGAATAGAAAGCTGATCTACTTTTATCTCTTGGCTTCCAAAGATGACTTCTTAAGAGGCAGAAAGAAGCATTATCGGCATTGCTCATTTTTTCTTAGAAGTAACAGCGTTTTTGCGTAGATTTTTTACCGAACGGCGATGGCGTTTATACATCAATATGAGACAAAATAGATCGAATTGCTTCACAGAATCGAGGATAAACAGATGTCCCCGAACATTATTCGCGGGACGGGCAAGACGTCCTGCACTAAAACCTATCGTACGCGATCTAACTGCGCCGTCTAAACGATCCCCTATTGCAAAAAATTCCTAATAAGTCCCAATGTTCTTCTGCATTGGAAAAATATGATTCCGTACGGCAAATCTAGTCACAGTTGTTCTGCAAGACTTGACCAGAAGAGACAATAAGTATCCAAGCTACTTCTTAGGTCTCCTCTAGTAGATTATACTCTGTTCTGGTCCATCTCAAAACGTATGAACGGAAATGGAAGACGATCTCAGGCGCCGGTTAGAAGGCTTTTTTAGGATTCGACTCTCCGAATTTTGGAAAAACAGAGGGAAAATCTGAAAGCAAGGTGATAGAAGATTTTACACAACAATGGAACATATGTACATTAATTGATTTTTTAAAATTGTCATTTCGTTGGTTTATGAAAACTCAACAAATTTATAAAACGACCTAATAGTAATAAAGTCTGAAAAATTTTGCGCAAACTCTTATATAGGCGTCGCGAAATTTTTGAAAGTTACTTAAATGTGTTATAAAAATATGCGAAGGACTTGTTTTTACTTGTAAATAACTAAAATAATTTTCAAAAATTTTTAGAAGTTCAAATTAGCCTTATAAAGGAAATTTTATTTTTGGAGTGCGCGGCTAATGCCACGCACCTTCATTAGAAAATTTTTTTTTGTTACCCCCCCCCCCCCCGAGCCGAAATCTTGGGTTCGCCACTGGTGCAAAGGTATAATAATCTATCATGTTTAGAAGACTTCACATCGAATAATGGCAAGAGACAAATGCGAATATTCCAATTACAGAAACGCACATTTTCAGTTTGCTGCAATTCTGTTTAACTCATAATGAGAAAGCCTCGATTTTCGTCATAAATCCATCTTTGTCAGAATGGAGGGAAGAGCAAGAAACGTAATAAAATCTTCAAGAATATAAGTTGAATTTTATGTGAAGGTTGTATAGATTGCAAAGAAGAAAGGAAAAGAAAAAGCTTAATTATTCTATTTCCAAAATTCTGTGAGGAAAACTTGACTGTCACTAAAACTTAAAACCTGTACATTTCTTCAGTAAACTTACAGTGATAAACAGCCCTTAGTGGCTCTTTCCATGAAATAAATATAAAAGCTCGATTATTATCTGGTGGGGATATGAGAGAAGTGAGACAATAGAGTCGCTGATAAGAGTGTTTAAATCAAACTGTATTTACAAATGAAGTCACAAGTCTTCTCTAAAACTAGATTTACAATTTCGATTTCGGAAGAGCCTTCTTCTTGCTGGAACAAGAAACTTATCATTTTCATTCTGATATGAGTTTTGCATCAAATTACTGAAGACGGTCAGCGTATGAGCAGATTTTAATTCTAAGAACCATACAATTGATGATAGAGAGTCCATCCATTCTCCTGCCAAATTCGCTGCGTTTGAGACGTCTCCACCACCAGTATCCAACAGCCCGCAGCAGTTTTGACAATAATTTGACCCTATTTTGGATCGATTTATCAATGTGTGGACGCGAATCTTATGTTCGGAGAATCTGCTTTACTACTACTACTCTTAGTATTACTTTTCGTTCTTAAATAGCAAATCAGAACTTCTCCTGTATCTCCTCGACTTTCTTGTTTCACCTTGATCATCAGAAAAAATTGACCACATGCACGATTCTTTCCATTTTCAATCGTGTGAGTTATACTGAATTCATTGTGCTCCATCATTTCACAACTACCTCGTACTCTATTCCCAAATTTGGCATGATCCATCTGGTAACAAATTGTATGTAATTAGCGAAATAATATACTGCAATTTTCTTTACTGTTAGATCACTGGTTTGTTGTTTATCCACTAATTGCCAAATTTTTCTAACTATCAAAAGATTGTGGGCGCTTACACCTGATATTCAATCAACTTTTCATTTGGATGCCGTTAAAGCATGTATTATTGTCAAATTTATCTGTAAAAGCCCGCTCGCTCCGTAAATGATTTGTAAAGCGTCAGCTAGATAACATGACCATTTAGGGCTAAAAACTCAATTCTGACAAGAAATCCCAAAAACCGTAAACGAATAATCAAAGAGATTTTAAGAAATGGACAATACCATCAAAGTTGCTCAACTTGCTTATTCCCTAATCTAGTCTGGAAGTCAAAACAAAAATGTGAAAAAGTAGACAGTGGTGAGCGCGAGAAGCGATGGCGCATGTATTTTGACCCGGAAAAAATTAACAGAAAGAGAATGAAAACTGCATTGACGGCTTTCGGAATCACACGGTACCAAAGTTCCATGAGACCTGAACATCAGATCGAATGAACTTTTGGGACCAAGCATTTTTAGGCTTTTGGACCACCCGTTTTTGTCCGAAACTTATGTTTCTCATCCACCTTTGGAGGTTGTATTCCGCTCACTGAATGGTGTGCTAGCACCTTGATAATGCTATATAAAAGATTAGAATTGTAGCTTTTTTGCAAAACCCGTAGAAAATAAAGCAGACTCTGAAGAGTGGTGATAAGTGTGAGATTTGAAATTTATTAGGTTGAACACTAAGTTTTGCAACTTGTTTCATAACTTCACTCTCACTCAACATGGCGCCCTCAAACTTTGGCATTATGTAGAATACAATGTGAGCTACAAGTGAGCACAAATTGTCTGAATGTTGAACGCGAATTAGAAAAGTGGCAGGCATTTTTCGAAAACTAGTAAAATTTGAGAATTTTTGAGGTTTCAAGCTAAAATGAAGCCTTAGGCAGCCTAAACCATGCGCAGTAATCCGGATTCGTCTACAAATTATTCGTGGAGGTTGACTCCTTTGACCTAGTAAGAAAGAAACAAAATTTAGGGGCATGTCGAGTTCTGGCGTCCTCATAAAGTCGAACGAGTCGATGTACACAAGAGCTGCGGGGGGCAACCGTCAGTGACTAAAAAGTCCGAAGCTCAAATTCCGCCGAGACTTTACATAGTAAGGTTATTTGACCTGCCAAACGCGAATATCACATTCATTTGTTGAATCAACGCCTTTTTCCTTGTTTAGGGTGAGACCCCATATCGTACACCTACAGTAATCCTACAAAAAAGCCCTTATCACGCAATTTCACTATCGTTTTCGTGATCAGCATGTCGGATAACACCCCTATGCCTAGTTTCAGCCAAATCCGTCAAACTTTGAATTTTTCCCCTTTTTACCATGCACCTACCGTAACCCTCACTGCGACGCCAGAATTTGGTAGGACAGCAGCTGCGCCTATAGTTTATGTAGTAACCAACGCAGTGGCAAAATTTGAGTGCGCCATGTTGAATGAGAGTGAAGTTATGAAACAAGTTGCAAAACTTAGTGTTCAACCTAATATTTGCAATTTCAACCCCACCCCGGTCTATAAAATAAATATGTTCAAGGTCGAAAGTAGCCCAAACAAATGCTTATGCGGTGGGCACCTAGGGTAGAGCGTAGTTGATTTGATAAGCGGTCATTATGTTGTCGTGACGCCGTTCACAGCTCGTACCTTGTTCGCCCCGATTCGATAAGATTCTCACTTTCGTTATCTATACTGATCTCGCCTAAACCAACAGCGGTACATCTAAGCTCTTAATTGAATTTGATTTCTTTCATCAACCTTGATATCGAATTTTATGTGCTCACCTTAGTCAAATCATGTATACTTTCTTTCTCAGTATGCGCAAAATTTCTGCATTTTCCGTCAAGAGTGTATTTTCTCTAGAAGATGAATGGAATTCTGCGTAGATCTCCCAAAATGCTTCAAACATTCCTTCTGACTACTAACCACCTCCACCGGTATCTTCTCTTACTAACAGCATGAATTGATGTTTGGTTTATGTGCGTGTTGTTCTCGTCGCCAACTTCTTATTTTGAGCATGACTACATTTTCAAAACAAAATGACCTACCAAGTTTGCCAGTTCCGGAGCTCGACGAGACACTCGATAAGTATTTGAGATCAGGTAAGTGGGCACAGCTCAAGAATATACTGTGAGAAAAAATCGAAGTGTTTTCGAGCTTTTAGAAGTGATGACCATATAAACAAATTGTAAAATAGTTCATCTTAAGATCTATTTTCAACTCACAAAGCTGAAAGCTTCTTCTTTCTAAATGGATTGTGCCCATGTAATGTTTTGGCTTACTAATTCTTTCACCATCCAGCATTACACTTAGACTTCTGCACTCTATTCTTGCACCTATGTTGTTTATAATCACTCTCCGCTCCTTTGAATCGATGTGCTGCAAAAGAACCATAGCAAGAAATTGTTAACAAATTACTGTCTTCATTTTCAGTCGCAAAATCACGATATTTTTTTTTCGGAAACAGTGTTTAAAATTCACGGCAAGTAACGAGGAACTTGCTTATTCAAGTGTATAGTTTGGCTAGAAAATCTAGAATATAATCTTGTTTTGGCATGCAAAACTTCACAAATTTTCTTGTTGCATAGCTCAAAGCTTCTATTATCAAATATCAACTAATCAGAATTTTCTTCTAACGGTCAAGGACGTTATGCCCAAACACAGTTGAGTTTTCTGAAGCTCGATTTTTATTTTTTATGCTTCGTCTTCATGCTGTGACTGTGTAGAGATGTGCAATTTAGTCTATACAAACAATTCCTTTCTTTAGCGAATAATAATTTAACTTGTGATCTGCCATTTTAGAAATCTATGAATAAAAACGAAATTTTCTCACATTTACGCACAATGAAATTGAGGTATCTTACTTCTTTGCGTGTTTTCTTCTTGAATATGTAAATTCAACTCGGACAGAATTTATATTCCTATTCTCATCAAGGTGCTCTTTCAAGAGATACAATCTATTAACAAATTTCTGCCTGCGGCATTTGTAAGAACTACAAAAGCAACCGAAATTATTTACCAGCCAACATAATAATTTGAGCCAGCGCAGGGCTCTTTAATATTTGGCATATCAGTGTGTTAACATCCAACACATTCAAGTGATTGCAAACAGTCTAGCAACGCTTTCTCGGAGCTCCTCTTGCTTCAGTAAGGCATATCATTACTTTAGCAGCTATAGTTAAAAATTTTCTTTCCTACTAACTTGTAGAAGCTTGTTTTTTATGTACTAGATCAACTAATACCCAAACTATAGTTGGTTTGAATCTTGCATGGTTTATAATATAAAAATGTGCGTTGATGATAACTATGTGGACTTTCTCAATTTAATTGAGAAATGTCTAAATGGCGGATTACATGTCGCTGCATTTATTCGAAATCTTTTTTTGGCGCACCCAGTTTTTTGAAATAAGTGAGCAACCAGAAACCTTACTCTTTCGACCAAAAAATATATTGGCGGAGGACGTCTATACCAGATGAGGCAAAACTCAGCGAAACTTGGATACGGTCCAAAATATTGCTTTTGATGCACATTCATTGAAAAGTGGAGAGGTGTTGTGTGAAAAATCTTATATCTGCGACTGTACTGTAAAATGAAAAAGCTGCACTGAACTGAGCAAGGAATGGTCAGAACTTAACCCAGCCATACCTGCTGTATATCATCATCCTCGTCCAAAAACGCTGATCGCAATAATATCTTTATTAACTGCCAAGCGACTATCTGAAAGGTGTCATGAGCGTTTAAATGCGATTTGTCAAGTGTTCTGTGAGGCATGTTCCACGAAATACTAAAAACATTTAATTGCTTTTTCCTTGTAATTGAAATAACCATAGCCATTGTAAATCCGCGTCATTAGGCTGCCTTACAAGGGAGTATATTATTCGAAGCTCGAAAAATTTCTCATATTTGAACGCTCATAACCTCTCCCAGGTAGTCGCTTGGCAGATAAAAACACATTTTTGAGATCAGCATTTCAAAGGGAGTCCGACGATATACAGATGTTTGGAATGGCTGGGCTAAGGTTCTGACCATTTCCTCGAGCTTTTATCTATTGTTGACGTAGCAACGCAATTATCACAACTCAAAAATTTGCTTCAGAAAGATAAGGCCAAAGAATCTGATCTGTTTTGGGGACGCACGTGGTCGCGTTATCAGGCCAGTGTTTTGCTTGTTTACAACGGATGTGTCCATAATACTTAAATGGAACCTAAATGTGAGCAAGACAAATTATTCGCTCTGTTGCAGGGCTGGAGGAATGAACTACCTAATGGATAAAACATAGCAAGTTTAGTGGCCCATTTTTCCATATGGTCATCACAAATATCTACTTACTTTTATGTTGAAAATTCCACCAACTTGTAAGGGCATTTCATTCGAATTTGCTCTATAGGTGGAACATAGAAAACAATTGAAAACTAATTTATACTTTTTTTCTATTCCTTTTGGTTCTAAAGTTTTCGATTACTTTTAAGTTAGTCTGGGTATTGAGCAAACACTTCATAGGAATGACAACATACGACAAATTTTCTTGTACTAGATTACTGATAGAGGCTGAACGCAGGAAGTGACATTTTTTCATCTTGTCAATTTTCTTGACTTTCGGAAAAAAGTCTGTCTGTGATTCACCTTTGATGTGACCTGAAGGCTCAAGCATTTACATCTATCACCCTGCTTAGTAAAGTCTCTACCTTCTGGTGTTTTTGCGAATATTCACTAATCATTAATTTCATTTTAAGTCTATCTTCTGGAGTAATGATCCAAAACCGTTTTTTTACCTGAACTTACTTCACTTCATGAAGAAGCAACTTTTGTTGGTTTTTGACCTTTCTTCCACATTGTCGACTGGATTTCTTATGAGTAGAGACAACAAATAGTGATTAAGAGCTTTATTTGGGAAGTGATAAGTAATAAGGACTTGCTAACTCGTGTCTTCAATTTCGCCGATATTTGCTAGACGCATCTAGGATAGTTTCTCGGCATACTGGGAGATTCTGGTGTCAGAGAAATGTCCGTCCTCTGAAAAGCCTCGTTTAAGTGTGAATATAAGTGTACCTTCAGAATATTACCTCTACGGAAGGAGCTGACAATGTTGCGAAAATATGTTTTTGGATAGTGAGACGTACGCTTAAAAAATTAAAATTTTTTCAAGAAATTTTCCGACACGACACGACTTAAAGAGTTAGAATGAATACCCGCTAATGGCAAAGAGAGGTCTCCAACTTTAAGGCACCGTCCACCCAGAATCTAAACTTCCATGTTTTTGGCGTTCAGAGGCCTTCTCGTGTCCTTATTTCTGAATATGAAGTCGAGACTCTTCGCGACCCCCACAATTCCCGTTTAGGAAAACCCGCGGGGTTGTCGGGATGAACAGTGATTGGTTGGGCAGGCGCTTGTGGGCGGGCAGTACTGGAGGGGGTGGTGTCGATTTAAGGTCCTCGTGCCTCCTTGTTATTACGGAGCAATTTTCTCGCTTTTGAATCTTGAGTCGCAACTAGGGCATGGACTTGATAGGAGGCCATACAAGCGTGCGATGTCGAAACCTCAAGACCCCTAATCTAGGGTGGACGGTACCTCTAAAGGCCGGCCATACATCAGGCGATTTCATCCCCTCGCGATTCTCCCAATAAGACATCTGCTACGAGTCCATTGCATGCCGATCATCTTGCATTCCGACTGTGATAGTTGGTGGCGATTAGCCGTGTCGGCAAACTACCCCAGCCGGCGAGATGATCCGCATGCAATTAACTCGTAGCAGTTGTCTTGTTTGATGAATCGCGAGGCCATGAAATCGCGTGATGTATGTCCGGCCCTTAAGAAGGCATACATGCAAAAAAATAGGAATAGCTTTCAAACCAACCAATGGAGAGCTGTATCTGTAAGGAAAAGCTCCGTGTGCATAAGGGTAACCTCCATATTTATGGCCCAAGGCGATATATCCCAAACCTCAACCAAGAATATTTTCAACAAAAAAGATATCGATGTGTTAAAGTAAAATAGTATGAAACTTATCTAACGTACCACCATAATAAGCAGAGTATGGAAAGGCCTGGGACCTGAAATCTTGTTTTGTTCATATTCTTTGCTTTGGCTCCCAGGACTCTACTCAAATTTAAGTAATATTCGAAGTCAGAAGTTGCAGAAACTGTTTCAACCAACTCATTGAATAAGAAATTCTGTGATATAACTTACATTTCCAAAGTAGCAATCAGAAAGCCAATGCAGAGGTAGAAGCAGTTCATGGTAGATGATGTGCAGGCCTTGGGTTTCATATTTATATGTTTCAACTGATATATTTCACTTTGAAAAAAAGAGGCAAAACTTTTTACAATTTGTGCACTCAAGGGTAAAGATTATATGTGCAACAAGTTTTACTTCATTTAAGTGCAATAATAACAGAATCCTAAGTAAGTATAAGTAGGTTTCTTCTTGTAATGAAGCACTAGTAGCACATGCACGTCCACTGCCAATTCTCCTAATTCTGTACTTTCTAGTAGTGCTCTCTTGCCATATTCTAAAATAGGCACATACTTGTTTGCTTTGCTGCGTGAGAAGCAAAAAATTATTGTATTCTTTTCCAAATGTCCTGCAACGCAATATGAATGCGCAGCAGAACCCTTACTTAAAAATGCCCTTATGAAAGTATTTACAATTGTAAGTGCTTCAGATAGTTGCTGAGAGGAACGGCATAAATACTAGGTTTGCTCGGGAGTTCAGTTTCGCAGCAGTGAATATTAACTGCTGTTTGGTGATGATGATTCTTACCTTATCGCTTTTAACATTGATTTTGTTGTAAAAAGAACCAATGTCCTTTTTTGCAGTAATATATAGCAAACGACTTTCTATGAAGAAAAGCTTTCAGAGATAGAAGGAGAAGATGAAAATCACTAACTTTTCGAATTTGAACAGAAATCTTAAAAATTGAGAGTGCAATAAAGTTCAAAACCGAAAGCAACGGCCTATGTACTCTATTTGAAAAAGATTTTTGTTAGTTAATAGTCCTTCGTTTATGATTTCCAAGAAGAACCGAATTTTTCTTGTGAACCTTTATAAGGCCTCGGACAGAGTTCACGCGATTTGATCATCGCGACTCAATCGCCGCATTTCCATTCATTTTCATTTTACATTCAAAAATTTCGGATTGGAAAAGTATCACAACCGAAATGCAACCTGGTCGGCATGCAGTGAACTTGTAACAGTTGTCTCGTCGCGATTGAATCGCGACGATCAAATCGCGTGAACACTTCCCGAGGCCTAAAGACGTTTATGTGCAGTTCAGTCAAAAAATCATGTTACTGACGGTTTCGAAACTTGTTACAGGAGTTCAGTTTTGGCAACCTAAATACAAAATCCAGTTTTTCTCATTTTAGACCGAAGCCACCAAGAAGCCCTAAAAATACCTAATTTTGTTGCTTCTTAAGAAGGTTGAAGCGAGGTAAATCGTCAAGTCAGTCCTCGGGCAGAGTTCACGCGATTTGGTCGTCCCGATTCATCGCGACAAGACAACTATAACAATATCATGTATGATGATCTTCTTGCAATTCGGGATGTGGTTGTTTTCCAACACGACTAATCGTGACTAACTATCACAACCGAGATACAAGAAGATCGGCATGCACTGAACTCGTAACACTTGTCTTGTAGCGATGAGTCGTGACGATGAAATCGCGTGAACTCTGTCCGAGGCCTTAGGAAGAATATTACGATTATTCAAGTTGGCAAGGCTTTCACCTTTCAAACCTGGATGTAACACGACTTTACTGCCATTTATCTTGTCTTATTATCTTCATTCAAAGTGCTAGGTGGATTAGTTTGAAAAATTAGAGATTTAATTTCTAGCACAGGAAGAAGCTGAGTAACTATTTTCCTTTCTGTGTAGAGTCACTCCTTCTCGAATCAGAAATCACTTTTTACAGCAACCGTACTTCTCAACGATGAGCAGAAGCGGACAACCACACAAGCAGTTGAAGAATTCCGAAGTAGCAAGCTGGCCAAGCAACTGCAGGATGCTCTAGTAAAGCGAAGCCAAGAAATGAGAAATTGGGTAAGTCTACTCGCTCAACATATAATTTCGAAAAAGAAACAGCATGGGGAAACTGGGTTTGACCAGAAAAGTAAGAAAACTATTCCTGAATGGTTCTTATCGGTACAGTCCACATATTAGTAAAAAAATTTCTTTTATCATTTGCTACAACTGCAATATCGGCATCCGCATTTTTTGTGTCGTATCTAGCATATATCCAGGGCCCGGCACGAGGTGGGCAAATGACAAGCTGAAAATCGTTTTGGGGCCAAAAAGCAAAGGGGATATCGTTTTCTCGGGATCCGGGGCGGAGCCCCGGAAGAAGATTCCAAGTGCAAGCAAAAGAGTCGAATCATGCTTACCTTATATATCTAATTCATCGGAAAATAGTTTTCATAAACCTCAACGCACAGCAGACTTCGCGCGCACTACGCCGCGTTGCCGCTAATTGCCGCGTGCGCGACGTCGCATGAGCGATGCCGCTGAACACATGATTACATGATCAGTTCTCAATGCAGGCGTAATGATATAGCACCAAATTACGTAAGCGAACAAAGAGAGGCTTTTAGAAACAAACCATGAAATGTTATGAAAAACTTATGTGAATGGGAGGTATAATAAGCATTTTTTCCGGAAATTTCGCAAAACTGGTAAATGAAGATGTGAATTCAAATGGCTCGTTTGTAGCGCACAGATGCCCATACGGTATGAAACTTGGTAGGTACATGAGCACGGGCCTGCAGGGCTTATCTTAGAAGTTTTATTGTAAAATTATGTGAATGAAGGTTGTGGCAAGCTTTTTTCTGAAATTTTCCACTATCAAGAATATGGAAAAATGGCTCGTTTGCAGCGCAGAGGAAACGAAATCGCGCGAGACTTGGTGTGTATACGCGCAGTAGGACTAAGCAATGTATGAAAAATTATGAAAAACTTATGTGAATGAAGGGCATGCTTAACTTTTTTCCAAATTAGGTGGGCAACTGCCCACCTAATGCCCACCTGAGGTGGGCAAAACTTTCGATTCACATAATTTTTTTCAAAATTTTTACATGAATCTGTTGCTCACCTAATGTTTACTATATGGTGAGATTTTGGTTCCGAAACTCCTCCTCTTGTCTTTGTTAGAGCCCAAAATCGCATCAGCAGCCTAGGTTTCTAAGGTGGAAAGCGCGCCCCAGTCAATCGATACGCGCGGGAACGGCGTCTCTCAGTCCTATGACTGCGTTCCTTTGATATTTTTTCATTCTTTCATCATTTTCCTTGCTTATTCTTCTTCCTGTTTTCTATCTTAATCAGGTGAGGAGTAATTAGAGGAATTTGAGCATTTTGGGCGCATTTGAGGCTTGTGTGGCCGGTGCTCTCGTTCCACAAGCACAAAGCGTCATTTTTGGGCTCAAGAGGGTATTCATAAAAACTATTGGGGTCAAAGGGGAATTCGTTTTGGAAAACCCCGTCTGCCCACCTCGTGCCGGGCCCTGCATATACCCCGCGGCATGTCGTGGCGGGACCATGTCTAGTCTCTACTCTAGTCTCTACCCAATATCTGCAATCTTTTACTGACAAGCCGCTGGTGCTGCTGGAAAAATGGAAAATTTTGAGAGCGATCTCACACTCAGCATATGAGATCGTATGTATAAAACTTGCTGGCGTTGCATTAAGGAGAAAAGTACAATACAACCAAATGCACAAGGACACGTACCCAAGTTTACAAGTCATTTCCAGCTGGAAGATTGGTGGTATGACGCCTACAACGAAATCCGAGAGCCATTGATTCCTTATGTCTCTTTGGCATCTGGTAACACATTTTGGACAGCGTTGGAAGGTTCCCAGATCTGTCGTGCTGCCGAAGATATTTACTACTGGATGCAATTCTGGGAGAAAATCAGAAAGTAAGTTTTTTGGAAGATTTTATGCCATGAAATCTTTTTTATAAAATTTTTGTAGACAACCTTGGGCAAAAGCGATTCAAAATTTCTGTGCTTATTTGCATCGGATATTCTGTATTTTTTAGGGGAACACTACCGCAGACAGTAAGCCGAGGAGTTGTATGGGATATGCACCAGTATTATTGTCTTTTCAATAGCTGTCGAGTACCAGAGATTCCCAGAGATAAAATTTACCGTTACTTCAAAACAGGTGCGTGAGGCCAAGTCTGCTCCTTCACAAGACTTTAGGATGCACGAAAAATCGTTTTTGGTTTTTTTTTTCAAATTTACTCACCATCATGTCCGTTTAGAAGCAGAAGGGGATTGCCCAACGCACATTACCGTACTCTGTCGTGGTAATATATGGCGGGTGGAGATGGTAAGGAATGGAACATTGCGAACACCTGATGAACTCCATCATGTAAGAAAATGAGTTTTACGCTACTTCGTCGGTCAAAATCTGGGAAGTTCCAATATTTCAGGTGCTCACATATATCGATAAGAATTCCAAGGAAAAAGAATATTGTATAGCTACGCTGACAGCAGACAAGAGAGACACTTGGGCGCAGGTGATCATGTACATAAATTTTTGAAAATGTAAAAACGTAATTGTTGCTCATCTTTACCGACATTCTTCAAAAAAAATGATTTCAAAACTTTTTTAAATGAGTGGTGTGCAAGTGGTGATCAATTCAAAAATATTGGAAAGCGGAAAACCAGGCACTCAATCAAATTCTAAAACTGAAGAGATAAATGAGGAATATCTTGATCAAAAAGCTGACCGAATTCATGGGCATTTTTATAAGCTGGGACGGAATTTGGTGCAGATCTGTAAATCACACGCCAGATAGATGAAACCTTTCTTGGCAAATAATGATAAAATACTACAACAAATATCAAACTCAAGTTGTTTTATTTTTTGAATTGTTCTGCTTTTTGCTTGTTTTTGCAGTAAGGAGAATCTCCACCTTATAGGTCCGTGCATCGCTCATAGCAAGTTCTGATCGAAACAAACAAAACATCAAAAGTATAGAAGAGTCGTGCTTTTGCCTGACCTTGACCGATAGTACTTACAGTACTGTATCGGAGGTAAGCTACCCATTTTTTTGGAAAAATAATAATTTAGGTCAAATATTTAGCAACTTCATGCTTCTCTAATGGGAGAAAGCAGGATGCAATGGGCGGATAAAAGTGTGAATATCATTATCAGCAAAGATGGAAGGATTTACATACAAGGGGAGGTTGGTGAATTTCTGTAACAGTGATTGTGAAGTCAACAGCTCATCTTCAGCATAGTAACGCAGATGCTATTGTTATCATGCAAGGTGGAGATGATGCCACAGCTAGGTCGCGAAAAGAAATCTGGCAGCCAAAAGTAGGTTTACCATCTAACTCGTAAGTGCTGGAAAAACTTGTAAAATTGTGCTTCAGGATGTGCCTTTTGACAAACCAGAATTGCTCGAGTTTGACCTCTCTCCCAGCCATATCAGATCCATAAAACACGCTGATAAGATTTTTAAGAAATTGGTAATGTTTCATTTATTGGGCTAAACCGATAGTTCTGTCTCTTTGATTTTGAAAAATTTGTACTTACTCTCTCTGTGAATAAATTTACTTACAAAAGGTATTTTCAGATAGAAAAAATCATCTACTTTTCAAAACAGTCCGCGTTCTTTGACGATAGGGGACTAAAGATTAAAATCAGAATAGGAGACACACTCTAACTCGGAATTCTGGAAAATAATGTCAAAATTCTGGAAGGCTGCAGAAAAATTTGAAAACATGCCTTTCACAAAGATTTTTGCAATCTCTGCATTTTTCACGAAAATCATAACTTTTCATGAAAAACCTCGATCTGCACAAACTTGGCACTGTTAGAAAGAGCAGCTCATGTAAATTGTAAGAGACATGTTTCCGAAATTTTCTGGAGAGCGTTTTTGGAGAGATTTTTGACGATTTATTCTTTAACACCCAGAGTTAGAATGTGTCTCCTATTCTAATTTTAACTATGGAGTTCCTTATCATCAAAGAGCCACAAACTTGTTATCATAAAGTAGATGAACTTTTCTATTTGAACATACTTTTTGTGAGCAATAGTAACATAGGGAGCAGTTACGATTTTTTCAAAATCAAAGCGATAGAACTTTAGGTTCAACCTAAAATATGTTGGTATAATTTTACGATTTTGTAGAGCCAAGCAGTTCGAGTAGACACGGTACTCTTTGAAAAGTATGGGAACAATTTGATCAGACAAGCAAAGCTTTATACAGATACGATAATACAAATCGCTCTTCAGCTATCATTTCTCAAAACACACGGAAGGTAATTTTACAACGTTTGTAGAACTTCGTGGAAACCTTACCCTCTTTCTCCAGATTTGCTCCGATATATGAAACGGCATCAACAAGAAAGTTTTACCACGGAAGGACCGAAACTGTGCGAGGTTGTACACATGAAATGGTAGCCTTCGGTCGTTCTGTGCTTGGAGGAAAAAGAGTGAGTTGGTGAAAGTGGGCATGTTTCAAGAGAATACCTGCGAAAAACATGATTTTAGCTACCAACAGCAAAGAGAATTGGATTTCAATTCGAAAACTTTACTGTACAAATATTTTACTTTCAGAAGGAAGAACAGCGCCGATTATTTACTGCAGCCTATGATGCGCATAACAAACTAATGGAAGATTGTATGAACGGCAGAGGTAAGCAGTCTGATCATCCCCCGCTAGATTCACAAATCTATCTATCACCTAAATAAACCGCTGCTAAGCTGGAAAACGTAGGGTATTTATTACACCATGTTTGACAACACTGCTTATTTGCTAGTTTCTGTAATCAAGAATTTACCTTGAACCAGTGGGGAGAACATCATCTCTGAGAGTGACCTACTTACAAGGGAAGTTCGCCGAATCGAAATGGCCAATTGATACGTGGTATACACCCGGACGAGGGGCTCGGGAGGTTAGTATCAAATGTGCGCCAATTGGCAGCGACGCGTTATTGTGAAGCAAGTTATGGCCCTCTGAAATTTTTGGCGTGTGCATGTCTAGAGTACGCAACAAATGCTCCAGTTGTGGTCGTGTGGTGTAGCGGTTAGCGTATCGGACTCACAGGTGACCGGTGAGGGTTCGAATCCTGTTGCTGTCCACATGTTTTGCGTTCTTCTCAAAGTTCATTTTTACCTGTTTTATGCATTACTGACGTAAATGACACATGCGGGTGGTTATAATCTACTAATTATACATCCTGCCGTATCATTCCCACAAGGTAGCCCATTAGCAAGAATCAATAGTACGACGTGAACTTGGAGATTGTCACCTAGATACTACGTGCAATGATGAAAGTATATGGGAGTGAGGATTTGGCAAATCTTCAAAGTAAATTAAAAAGCCGTCGCTAAAAAGTCGTTGCTATGTTCTACGAAAATCTTACATATGAAGCATGGGTCGAATTTTCGTGAGAAGAATCATCCCGTAACCCGTGTGTGTCATTTTTTACCTCAATGATACATAAAATAGGTAAAAAATGATTTTTGAGAAGAACGCAAAACATGTGGACAGCAACAGGATTCGAACCCTCACCGGTCACCTGTGAGGTCCGAGACGCTAACCACTACACCACAAGACCACAATCGGAGCATTTGTGCGTTCTCTAGACATGCACACGCCAAAAACTTCAGAGGGCCATAACTTGCTTCACAATAACGCGTCGCAGCTAATGGGCGCACATTTGATACTAGCCTTCCGAGCCCCGCGTCCGGGTATATACCACGTATCAATCGGCCATTTCGATTCGGCAAACTTCCCTTGTTAGTTGAAAATGCGCACCTGTTTGTCTTTACTTGTAACAAAAAATGCTTTTAGATTTTTGATGTCTCAAAATTTCGGATATAAGCCTGCTAAAAATCGGCAACACTCCAAGAGATTTCCTGGAGGGTGTAGCTGAGCTGGTCTCTCCCAAGAAAAATTTTTCAGGTTCTTTCTTTGACTGCTTTAACTCGGTTCACGAGATATACCAGTAAAAAACGTGTGAGAGAACTTGAAAAAAAAATCCAGAAATAATTGTTTTGATGATGCAATGCATTATGAAAGCAATATCTCGCATTCGTTGACACGGAAAAATTGTTAAAAATTTCATGCACAGCTAGCTAAAGATGACGCTGCAAGTACAGTACACTATAGCTATGAGGATGGGACCCGTTAGTGCCACATTATGCAGAATAATAGCATATGATTCTGTGACATGAGAACCTAAATCAATTACTACCCCTATGATAGAAACAATCCAGCCGAAGAAACTACAATTACATACCCGCCAGGACGCGTATAAGAAAAAAGGTCTTTCAGGTGTAGATCGCCATTTGTATGGACTGCGGAAGACCTTAGAAACGTTCAGCAAAGGTTGTTCACCGAAAATGGAGACACCAAAAATTTTCACCGATGAAGGATGGAGAATATCAGGAGGAGATGGAAACTTCCTACTGTCTACTAGGTTCGTCCAGTGAGGTATCTATCACCTTCTTGATCGTTTTTTTCCAGCTTCATTGGCTATATGCCACAGAATGACGAAGTGGCTGGATATGGATATGTGAGCGCCATGCGGCCAGATGGATACGGAACTTTTTACAGGATAGGAAGAAATAAGTACGTTTAAGAAATGAAAATCCATCAGTTTGTAACAAAAGCACGCTTTCTTTTCAGGATACAGTTCACGATCTCAGACTGGCACCCATCCAAGTCAAATCTGACCGAGTACGGAGAAAATATCAAGTGGGCACTAGACAAGCTCTCAGAGTTCTTCGCTGTCGACACTCCCTCCAAACTCTAGGGGAAAACACTCAAATGCATATCTTATATATAAAGCTGAATGTCTGTTTGTATGTATGTCTGTCTGTCTGTATGTCTGTCTGTCTGTGTGTACGTATGTTCCGAATAGAAAATTCCATTTCTGAACCGATCCGGACCAAACTTGGCACACATACACTACGGGCCCCGGCGGGTGTCATAGGCTACTTTTCGTCATCGATCGATATCGATTTTATCGATTTTTATCGATTTTTTTGCTGAGTTCACCTACGGGGCTGGGAGTTGGCACAGGGGGGTAATCGAGCATGGGGATTCCGAATACAATATTGGTTTTCAGGATTATCGATTACTTTTATCGATTTTATCGATTTTTTTGCAAAGTTTGAGCTACGGGGCTGGGAGTTGGCACAGGGGGGTAATCGAGCATGGGGATTCCGAATACAATATTGGTTTTCAGGATTATCGATTACTTTTATCGATTTTATCGATTTTTTTGCAAAGTTTGAGCTACGGGGCTGGGAGTTCGCACAGGGGGGTAATCGAGCATGGGGATTCCGAATACAATATTGGTTTTCAGGATTATCGATTACTTTTATCGATTTTATCGATTTTTTTGCAAAGTTTGAGCTAGGGGGCTGGGAGTTGGCACAGGGAGGTAATCGAGCATGCTGATCATCCCCAAGGGGGGTGATCAGCATGCTCGAACACCCCTGTGCCAAATTCCAGCCCCCTAGCTCAAATTTTCAAAAAATCGATAAAATCGATAAAAGTAATGGACGATCTTGAAAACTAATATTGTATTCGTAATCTGCATGCTCGATTACCCTCTGTGCAAACTCCCAGCCCCGCAGGTCAAACTTTGCAAAAAAATCGATAAAATCGGTAAAAGTAATGGACGATCCTGAAAACTAATATTGTATTCGGAATCCCCATGCTCACTTCCCCCCTGTGCCAACTCCTAGCCCTGTAGGTGAACTCTGCCAAAAAATCGATAAAATCAATAAAAGCAATCGATAATTCTGAAAACTAATATTGTATTCGGAATCCCCATGCTCACTTCCCCCCTGTGCCAACTCCTAGCCCTGTAGGTGAACTCTGCCAAAGAATCGATAAAAATCGGTAAAATCGACATCGATCGATAACGAAAAGTGGACTGTGACACCCGCCGGGGCCCGAAGTGTATGTGTGCCAAGTTTGGTCCGGATACGGCGGAGCCGGGTAAGCCAGCTAGTTTCTATATAAAGAAGAGGCATAAATCGAATCTTCATCAGTATTATATAACATTCAACAGAGCAGAACCAAATCGTGAAAATTCATAAGTTTGTACTTGAGCGAAGGAAAATGAAGGTACGTATATGGAGACAATGGTATGAATCATCACAAGTTTGTAGAACTTTTACTTCCATTACAAGGAGCATCCTCCGGATGCTATAAAAAACCTACTCACTTTTACATTATTGGAAGCTTTACAAAACTGAAAGAAGTACCGGAAAATAACTGATAAAAGAGTTTGAAAATTCCACATGCAGCTAAAAGTGAAAATTGGACCCGAAGAAATGCTTGGACGGACAAGAAAAAGGGAGGGAGTCCTGTAGATAATCTTTTGCTTCCTAGGTGCCAACGACTCAATCCTAAAATTTAATTTTGACAGGAAAAAGGGAAAATAATAAGCAGACAAAAATTTCTTGTAAACCATGCATTCGCTTGACTTCAGGCATATAACTGTGTGAAATTACAAAAAAGGACAGCAAATTTGAAACAAGGTTGATACCGGCTCCAAGCTTACCTCTTCCATAAAATCTTCCGGCATATTATTTGGACTAGATGGGTTCCTCATGGGGACGTTGGAGTTTTGCTCTGAAAAAGTACTTCGTCAAGGACACTCTCACGACAAAAGCTAATTTGCTAAGCTAATGCTAATATACTTACCATCCTTCTTAGCTTCAACAGGCTTTTCCTCCTTAAGACTCGAAGCGCTCGAAGGTTCTGACTTCAAGTAAGCCAACACTTCTTCCTCAGTCATATCCTCAGCGTCAAGATATTGAACTATATGTTCCCCATCTTCTCCTATGAGTTCCATAATCTGTTGTCCATTTTCATCATCGACGTACTGTATGTAAGCTTCACAAGGCAATTCTTCATCGTTCAGATATTGAACCATCTGTCTATTGTCATCCACCATCCGTACAATTCGCCTGGTACCCTGCTCGTTATCCGCATCATCAACCTCATAAGCCACGAGCTGGCTACTATGATAGTCGATGATCTCGGCGTTTTCTGGACTTGCATATTCTTCTTCCTCCACAAGGGTCTCGCCTTCTTCATTAACTTGACCAGCGCTATCATGGGCATATCTCTCATCAGCAATGGTCTTGTCGTGGTTGTCGTTTTTGATCTACAACATTGCTTTTCTCAAGAATCAGTTTTTCTCAAAAATCAGTCAGCAAACTTAAATCATTTCTATACATTTCGCTGGAGTTGCGCTCTCTACCGGGATTTTTAAAATTCGAGTGAAAGATGGGTGAGATAGGAACAATAAAACTGATGATGTTGAACTAGATAAATATTACAAAACAAATGGACAAAAATGTAGGAAATTTTCTGACAAAGTCAACAAGACCTCTGATGTAATACGCTCTTCGCATTAACCCAAGTTATATACTGCAGCACTACAGAAACAAGAAAATAGTCTGGCTCTTTTTTTTTGTTGTTGTTGAAAAAGACAACTGAGTTGCTCTCTCAAGGTAAAATGTATGATGGTAATAAGACGACAAACTTACTTTCGAATTACTTTCTTCAGGTTGTTGCGCACCACGTTCGTCTTGCGTTTCGCTGGTTTCTGAAAGACGACAATAGCGAGTAGACAAATAAAGACACAGCTTAAGTCTAAGCTGCAGTTATAACTGCAGCTTAGACCTCCTATAGGAACTAACAAGGGAAGCGCGTTCAGTCGAAGTGGCCTTTCCAGATGAGACCCATACTGCTTTGAAGTGCATTAAAAGCAGTAGGTCGGCAGAATGAGACCCGCGGCAAAACAAGATCACAAGGTAGGAGCCCCATAATGGAACCTATGGGCCAAAGTCCGATCTTTCGCTGCCACTTCTAATCCCCGAAATTTCAACGCGAAAGCAGCGCTCACCTCCTCTCCTCTCCGATCCCGCCCACCCCATGGACGAGTGACTTCCACGGTCAGAGCGTGCATCGCAATGCTATAAGCATGCAACGACTTTGCGTCTTCGCCGTGGCGGACTCATCCGTGAGGTGGGCGGGGTCGGAGAAGAGAGGAGATGAGCGCTGCTTTCGCTTTGAAATTTCGGGGGTTAGAAGTGGCAGAGAAAGATCGGACTTTGGCCAATAGGTTCCATATGGGGGCTCCTACCCTGTGACCTTGTTTTGTCACGGGTCTCATTCTGCCGATGTACTGCCTTTAAGCGGTCGATCTAAATCTGCCTTCCAAATTTGAAAAGCGCTTATGGATGCCGAGTTATGGGCGTTTTACAGACCAAAAAACTGAACGCAAAACTGGAACAAATCGCCCAAATTGTCCAGTGTCCAGTCAAAGCAGTTTATGCAGTGGATTCATTTCGTCTAATATGCTAATACATTGCTTTAACTGAGCGCTGGAAAGACTGTAACAATCGATTTTACCTAAATTCAGAATTCATTTTTCGTTCAAAAAACGGTCGTAACTCGGCGTCCAGATGCGCGTGGCAGATTTGGAAGGCAGACTTGGAATCACCGTGCAATACTTTTCAAAACAGTATGGGTCTCATCTAAAAAGGCCACTTCGACTAGACACGTCCCTTGTAACCATTTTCAGCATTCCCAATACCATCAAAAAGTACAGCAGAGTACTTTGATTGGACGCACTGTAACAAGCTATGACGAAACTCTACTTACTTTGTGCAGCAGATGCCTTACTGATCTTCTCCAAAACAATTTGTGAGCCGTGACGAGTTCCAACGGCAACCCGATATTCCACTTCTCCCTGAATGAATCAACTGCAAACACCAACAACTTGCCTCGGTATAGATACAAACCCCAGGTGTTGATGTGAGGACCAAATCTCCCAGAGCTAGGTGTCCAGAATAGAGCATCATATCCATTTCCGACAACTGCTCAGCGTCGAAATCTGTGACTTCGTCTCCGTGTACGTCTACACAACGAGTAGGGGTTGGAGCCTGCACAATCGCATGAGATTTTTATAAATGAAGATAAAATTCATACCTCCTCGCCAGGACCCTCGGGCTCAAGAATTGGAGGAGGTTCAACATCTTCTGACTGGTCTCCAGCTCCAAAAGACGGCTCTTGTATGGTAACGTTTTTTCTTGGCGATGCCTTGGAACTATCGCGAAGTGATGACGTTACAGGCTGTGCTTGAGCAACATCAATTCCAGGAGAATGCACAACAGCTGCTGAAATATTCCAAAAGATGTGAGCTTATTCCACATATTATCGCAAAGAAAAACGCACGCGCATGATCCCTGGTTATTGCCTTATCCAAGAAATTTTCGGAAAGCAGATGAACTGTTCCAATGTGTTTATCTAGAGATTTTTGGCCAAAGAAGACCACATCTGAAAAAAGAAGAAATAACGGCAACTAATGTTTATGACCTACTAGCTGGCTTACCCGGCTCCGCCGTATGTTCCAAATAGAAAATTCCATTTCTTAACCGATCCGGACCAAGCTTGACACACATACACTTCGGGCCCCGGCGGGTGTCACAGTCCACTTTTCGCTATCGATCGATGTCGATTTTATCGATTTTTGCAAAATTTGAGCTAGGGGGCTGGAATTTGGCAAGGGGGTGTAATCGAGCATGCTGATCACCCCCACGGGGGTGATCAGCATGCTCGATTACCCCCCTGTGCCAACTCCCAGCCCTGTAGCTCAAATTTTGCAAAAAATCGATAAAATCGATATCGATCGATGACGAAAAGTAGCCTATGACACCCGCCGGGGCCCAAAGTATATGTGTGCCAAGTTTGGTCCCATCGGTTCAGAAATGGAATTTTCTATTCGGAACATACGTACAGACAGACATACAGACAGACATACAGACAGACAGACAGACAGACAGACAAACAGACATTCAGCTTTATATATAAGATATGCGAATAACACTCACCACACACCGGACATTTCTTTCCTTCGTCTAGCCCACGCTTGAATTTAGCCTTTGCACCTTTACCCAATGGCAAGACATTCCTTGGCACAGGTTTTATAGAAGGTCGTCGTTTAATGTTGATCAGTCGAGAGCTCTGAAGGCAAGTTCAGTGAGTTGGAACCAATGAAACAATGATCAGATATCAAAACGGTCCCCCGAAGCTCATAGAAATTATGGAATACGTGCATTTCACGAAACCAAGCAGCACTCTGCAAATTTTAAAGATATAAAAAGGAGTTTTTGGCCCATCTCACCCGAAAAAGCTCAGAGGCGCCGTTCAGACGAACTCCCAATCAAGCCTTTCTTAGGGATCGTTCATACCGCGCACAAAGGCGGACGAAAGCGGACGAAGCCGCACAAAGGCGGGCGAAGGCGGACGAAGCCGCACAAAGCGGACGAGGGCGGACGAAGCCGCACAAAGGCGGACGAAGGCGCACGAAGGCATGTGTGAGTGTGTGTGCGTGTCGAGAGAAACGAGACGAGACAAGACGCGCCTTCGCCTTTGTGCGCGGTCTGAACGATCCCTTAGCATGTGTGCACTGGATATGACGCTATTCCTGCACAAATGCGAAACTTCAGGAAATTGATGCTGATAAGGCCTGTCACACCCTATCAACAAATTGCCTACCAAAAAGATGCAGATATTCTTACAATGCCTTTTCTCGAAAATCACTGATTAGCTACTCTAATGCCCGGACTCATCCAGCATTTTCAGTACAAAGCTCTGGAGCGCAGCTAGTTAGGCACACCAAATGGTTCAAGAATGATGAATTTCGAAGTGAAGCAGCTCGTCAAAAAAAGTCAAATTCTGCTTCCTCAAAGATAATGATTATGTAAAACCATAGATGTATCATACCCCTGGCCGCAGATCTGGGTCTGTTTGTTTGATATGAGACACGAGCTTTCTCAGAGAAGTGGCATCTAGCTGAAATGAATGATGTATGCTGAATTAAAACATAAATAGCAATTAAGTAGTGGTATAAAAAACGTACACTTGAGTATTTCCCAGGATACTTACCAGTTTCCGAACGTCAGCTCCTACCAGCAGCTTCGTATATGCACAACTATGTCGATAGTGAAACAATAGATTGTAATCGTACTTGAATCTAAATATGACTGAACTAAAGTAAGATATCAAAAGAGGAAATATGGAAGAAGACTACTGATTGCGATCGCTTCTCCTAGACAATTCTCAGAATAAAACCAACCTATGTCCACAAAGTAAACACTTGTGGGCACCATAATGAGAATGGAAGCCAGTTATGTGCCGTTCTAATCGACCAGCATTAGCAAACTGCCTAGAATCGTCCAAATTTTCATGGCGATACTATGATGTACATTATTTCAGCAGTACAAACCGAAAACAATCAGGACACTCCAGAGGTTTGCCGTTTTCAGAGATACACCACTTATTGCGATCGGGAACGACTACGTTGACAAGTTCGCCATTAATATCCACTACAGTGTCTGCTGGGTTCACATAGTCATCCATAAAAACCACCGCCTTAATAAGCTTTAGTAGAGTAGAAAGTCAATACTAATGGCAAAACGAGAATAATATAATTTATCATACAGTACGTACTGACAACAAAGTTAAAAGAAAAATAACAAGAACTGCTCTTAATCACTATTCACATTACCTTTTCGTCGTTATTCGAAGACGTAGATGGGCCTTTACCATCATCTGCGCCTGCAGTGATACCCTCTTGTGATGTGCGCACATCCTCAATTCACATTTGGTGAAGCAGGAAAGAAAAGAATAAGTATAATGAAATACCTCCATGTGATGCGGCAAGACTTCCTCTCCATCTTCTCTATCTGAAAAATGGTAGCTGGAAACAGGAGATACGCGCACAGATAACCTTACTTGCAATGATGGGCCTTAGAGGAGTTTGTCGAGATAACCTCCTCAATCGCATCAACAGATTCAAAACCATTCCTTTCAATTCAGTATCACTAAGAAACAACTCAGATCCAGGCTCAATGTTAGCCTAAAAACACATTTTGTACCAATAGGAGCAACAGCATGGTTTGACTGACCATTATCTCAGGGCAGCTTGACCGCCAATGTGCATATAAGTTATCTTTCCGCCTGAAATCACTTTATGAACCCAAATGATTATGATTTAACTGCATAATTTGGGGGATAAAGGCGAAGAGCGTTAGAGTAAAGCATGGAGCAATGCTCTTGTTCTAAGCGCGTTTGCAACAGCGTCGGAAAATGGATCAGTAAAGGCTTACACAGTGCGCAACGCGTTGAAACAGAAGAAATCATCCTATATGAAATCGCCTACCTAAAGGCCACCCCACACAGGTCACAGTAGTAGCCGCCAGTTGGAGACTGCATATCCAACAGTCTCATGCCAGTGTCCGTTGACGAACTGTGAAGAGCTTCATGCTGTGGAAGGTGATTTCTATCCACCAAAATGCCGCAGATCATACAAGCTCTTGCAAGAGGACCTAAATAGGCTGTCTTCCAAGCTATTACACAGAATGACAAAGGTAATCCAGCCCACGATAGGTATGATGCAGAATGGAAAGCCGCACACTTTTTGAAGAAAAGCAGATGTCAAGATAAGAAAATTCCCGTAAAAATTTTATGAAAGATACCTCCTGCGTTATGAAAGGACCGTGATGCCATAGCTCAAAGTTCTCTTGCATTAGTTGTCGCGAAAAGAAATAATGCGCATTGGTATTCAACACAATCGGGACAATTCGTACACTCTCAAGTCTAAGAATCCTACGGCACGCGCCATACTTGGTCCGCTCAATCCACTTAATCCGCTTGATCCGCTTCACCATTGGTCAGTTCACTGAATTGACCAATGACGAAGCGGATCAAGCGGATCAAGTGGATTAAGCGGATCAAGTATGGCGGGTTCCTATAATGTAGATTATACGACCTGCCAACACAAGATAGTTGCTTCGCCAAAATCTTACGATGGCTTAGTCAATCATGTCGTAAGCGTTCCATAACATTACTCAAGTACAAAAGTAATAATCGTAATTCTTTGTTTTGATGAGCATGTGACCACACACAGTCACTCGTGGCGACGAAATATCTTGCGCATACGCAGCAACGATTGCTTAAAGGCAGCGTCCAGGCAAGTCCGGACCTATGGGGATTTTACGTGGAAAGTACTTTTGGGGCCCTAACTAAGCCACCGCCCAACCGGCACCTCATGTAGTGCCCTAACTGCTTAGATATTCCCCTCGAAACTGGACCCCGCGACCGTGTTTCGCATGGATTCATGGCGCAAAGCGCGGATCCTGGCGCGAAACTGCCATGAATCCATGCGAAACACGGTCGCGGGTCCCAAAAGTACTTTCCACGTAAAAGCCCCATAGGTCCAGATCTGCCTGGACGCTGCCTTTAAGCACCGGCCAGACTTCGCTCAAAAAATTTCTTTGATCTTTCTTCAAATTCTTCTCAGCTCTCCTTGCACACGTTCCGCGCTAGCTTAAAAGCGCCAGCATGCTAGCGCGGAATTGTGAGGAGAGATAAGAAATGCGAAGAGGAATCGAAGAGGTTTGAGCGCTTCAGAGGCCCCTGCACAGAGACCTCAAATCCATTCTCTCGATAGATTTCGAGGTCTCACAGCATGCGGCTAGCACATTATAATTATACGACAGAAAAAAAGCCAAGCTGTTGCTGATAAAACAAATATAAAGCAAGCATGCAACTATACTACATACTTATCGGCATTATTAAACCCTTTTAGCAACAAAAAATGAAAAAAAGAAAGAAAAGCGAAGACTACCATATCTTAAGTGATTAAACGACGATAAAGTAGCAAAAATATGGTTTGCAGCAAAACAGAAATCAACCCACTTTGAGGATCGACAGGCATCTCCAGCTGTATTGAGGTTGAACCTGGAAAAAGCGCTTTCGACGAGATTCCGATGTCTACGGGTTCGAGCTCATTCCTTTTCGCTACTACTTCTTCCACGAGAAGTCGCAATGACTGGACATCCATGGTCTGAAAGCAGACACAATAACAAGACGACAGATTCAATCTCCATACATACAAGGTTTTATCATCAAATGGGAACTTAAATGGTCCGTGCATACGAACAAAATCAACTATGATTAACGAAAACACACTTTATATGGAGCACAGAACTTGGAACAAGACAGGACTGAGAGTTGCACTGTATTTTGACCAGCTGTGAACATCCCTCATCTGACTAGTGAACTTACAACAATTTGACGAAGAAGTATGCATCAAGTCTCGTGCGTTTTTGATTGTATCACCAAAAGAAGCACCTAGGGATGATACAACAGGCGTATATAGTTCGAGGACACCCGAGCAGATAAATTGCCAGGGTTAAGGTTGCAGCTTCTCTCAACTTTTTACTCGTCTTCCTTTTTTTTCGAACGTACTAAACTACAACATGACCACGGATTTTCTGAAAAGGACGTAACTATGATTCACCGTTTCAACCTGAGAAAAATATTAAATATCGTTCAGTTATGATAAGAACAAAGATAATTTGAGATAAATGAAGGTGATAGAGCAAAAATAAGTGAAACGTATGCACGGAGCAGACTTATGCGGAAAAAACACTTGCTGAACAAAAAAAAATTCGAAATAAAACTATGCTGGTACCTTTCGCTCTTCCACTTTCACGAGTTCATTGAGGTACTGACATGTTTTGCGCCAATGGAAAAAGAGATTGTATTCATACTTATACGTCTTTCCACACAAAGGACATAGATAAGCTCCAAAAACCTGGAAAGAATGGCTACACGCGAACTTTCAGGATCGAAACAAAAAAATCACACCTGGTGAACAGCCAGATGCCGCTCCAGTCGAGCTGCATTGACAAACGACTGCTTACATTCCGGACAAACAGCGTTTCCATACTGTCTATTTCTGCTTCTGAACTGCTCAAGTGCTAAATGAAAAGGATCTGGGCTCTAAAACATTGTCTGCTTTGAGCAATAACTTGCGGGAAAAATTTGTAGCCAACATGACTATTCACATGAGAAAGTCGAAATAAGCAGAGAGCTCGAAATTTCGAACATACCTGAATGTGGCATAAAATCAGTTCGATCAGAATAAACCATAGTGCCATCCTGAAAGTAAAGAAAAATCAAGAACGATTATAAAAATGGAGCAACGCCTTGACTTACATCTTCGCCACTTTCTCCCTCATAGGCTTCATAATCGTCCTCAATCAAATCTAATGACATCTTATAGTAACAGAAAAAGACCTGACGAAAGAGATCTTGTCTTTATTGAGATGTCTATTTAGATACTCTAAGAGCAAAAAATCCACAAATATAGACAAATCCAGCTTGCCGTAATTTTCACCATTCTGCGCTTGCACAGCCTGCACTTGAAGGATCTGTGCAATTGCGGGTAACAGCCGGGGGGGGGGGGACAGGCGGAAGGCGGTAATGTTCCAGTGCTGAATCTAACAACATGAAGCACTACTGCTACCCGTCATAGTGTCTTGGGTATTGCAGCAAAGCTGCGTACGATGGTGGGAGCAAGTTCCTCCCATCGCACGCTAGGATCCTATGCACGTACATCCCCACTGGGGATGGGAGGGAATCGGAGAGGGGATGCATCACATCTCGCTACCCTAGATATCTTTCTTCTTCCTTTTCTATCTTGCTTATGAAGATTCTCATACCGTTATACCTGCGCATAGTGGGTGCCAGGTTACTGCCATAAAAGATTGCTTTTTTGCTTTTATGTGATCTCCTGGGGATCCCTAGGGGATCAACTCTCATTTTCAAAGTGGTTTATCTTTCTGAGAAGTCAATGAAAACCCTGCAAATTTGTACTGAGGATATACTACATACTTACTTAGATATTTAGATGGGCCGTCCTTACGTGACGTGCGGGCCCAGTGCAGAAGTTTCCATTATTCCCTGTACCTCGCTTCGGACATCCACGATCTTCTTGGCTGTCGTCGAGGACTCCGTCCACGAGTTTCAGGGGCGAAAATCGTATCCAGCTGATTTTTCAGTTGGTCCATACACACGTCTGCCCATCTCACCTCGTTGCAGGTCTTCCTCGTTTCGCTTCGCGATAAATACATTCCGATGTTCTAGTGTCCATCTGTCGTCTGTTCTTCTCATGATGCGATCGGCCCATCGATGTTTCGCTTTCGCAACATTCCGCTGGGTCACGAAGACGGGACATTCTTCTTAAACCCGTACTGCGAAGTCCGGCAAGGTGTTGTTCGTGTCGGCTCATCTCCAGAGGACTGCGCTCAAGCGCTCTTTGGGTGGTCTGTAGAGCTTTCGACGTGGCTACAGTGTCGAGCCAAGTCTCAGCTGCGTTAAGCGCCGGGAGAACGCTCATTCGAACAGGGAGCTTCGGGTGAAGCTCCAGGTCCGTCAGTTGGTCAGTGGCTTCCTTCAGAGGCCCGAAAGCGGCCCAGGCTTCTTCTCCTGTCAAGTTCTTCCCTCAAGTCGTTCTCCATGTTCAACGAACGTCCGAGACACACCTAAGAAGACGTCTCCATGATAGGGGTGCCTTCCATTTCTGCATCTTCACAAAGGGCGTTCTTCATGATTGAGTCTTCTTCCGATTTATTCGCAATTCGATCTTCTTCCGCACTTCGTTTAGTCCCTTCAGCATCGTCTCTGCTGTGATACTGCTCGAGAAGAGAACGATGTCGTGCAAAACGAACGTTCGACAGGAATTTCCCATCAACTCGTATGCCTCTCTCGTCCCAGTCAAGTGACTTCATCACTCACTGCAAGGCCGCAGTGAACAGCTTTGGCGAGATTGTGTCGCCTTGTCGGACCCCTTTCCAATCGGGATAATCGGGTGATGAAAAAGCTGCATCGTTGTTGTACAATCCTTGTAGCAATCGGCTAACGTCCTTACTAGGCTGGGTCCACTCCTTGATCGACTAGCGCTGACAGGATGGCGTTGGTTTCGACGCTGTCAAGCTTTCTCGTAGTTGACGAAGATTAGGACGGGAGGCAGTCGGTACTTTCGACAGACTCCTCTGACCGTCGAAACCGTCTGGATGTTCCAAAGCTCCCACCATTCGCCTTCTTGAAAAGAAGCTAAATCCTTTGCGAAATCCAGCTTGCCCTTGGGGTTGCGCTTCACTCAGTGTCCTAGATATGCGAACGACGATAGTCTTCGTGAAAAGCTTGTACAACATTTAGCAAGCATATTGAAGTTAGTGAAGATCCTCCCGTTCGCATTTCTTGAAAAGAAGGACGGTCCTTAAAGTCCTTTACTGGTAAGGGATCCTTTCCTTCTGAAGGTGAGATGTCAAGTGGACGCGAGAATCTCGTGTAGACATTGTCATCCGACTCGCAGTAATTCGACGGAAAAATGGTCTGGTACTGGAGCCGTGGACGTCTTTATGGTCTGAATGGCCGTGCGCACTTCAGCAGGTAGAATTCGTGGTGGTACTTCTCCAGCGGAAACAACGGGCATCGGCACGGGTGTTGATAAACGGAAGAGGTTCGTGTGGAAATTCTTCTCGATCGATTATCTCTTACATCGGGAAGAATTCGACCCCGTCTTCGTTCAATACTGCAGCCAGCGGTACGTGATATTCACGGAGTTCCCTTCGGCGCTTCTTGAGACTTTGTTTTCCTTCGGTTGCTCGTAGTATCTTGGCTTGCCTGTACTTCCTGAGATCCTCCTGCACAGCTGTTCGCATCACGCGAAATCGCCGATCTCACGTGAAAAGACTTTCTAGATGAGTAGTTGTTTGCATCTTATTCGCGATAGTCGGCATAGCGCGGTGAGTTTCAGTGAGAAGATTTTACGAGCATGAGTAAAGCACATAGATGGTATAGCCAGTCCGAGCTCTGCGAAGCAGAGGTGACGCACTGGTAACTCTATGAAAAGGTCCCAATATGCAGGAGGAGTATGTTATTCGTAATCAGCATGTCGAATAAGCCCTCTGGACCGAACTCCAGCAAAGTTCATGGTTTTGACTTTCTACCGTACACCTATCGTAACCACACGGGGGACGTCCTGTGGAGAAAGTGTGATATCTGTTCAGCATGTAAGATAACAGTTATATACGAAGTATGAGCAAGCTCTACGACAAAAAATTTTTGGGCCCGGATAGCCGAATAGCGCCAAAGTAATATTGTATTCGTAATCAGCATGCACGATTACCCTCCTGTGCCACCTCCCAGCCCCGTAGGTCAAACTTTACAATAAATCAATATAAATCGATAAAATCGATATCAATCGATGACGAACAGTGGCCTATGACACCCGCCCCGCACCGAAGTGTATGTGTGCCAAGTTTGGTCCGGATCGGTTCAGAAATAAAATCTATTCGGAACATACCTACATACAGACATACATACAGACAAACAGACACTCAGCTTTATATACAGTAAGTTTCGGCCCGCTTTAGGCGGAAATTGGATTGGCGGGAGTCCGCCTCGCAACAGCTCGCGCCGTTTCGCAGCTACAATATATCGTATCGTGCTGAGAACCCATGTCTGCGTCTCCTCAACCTCCTTAGTCTTTGCTTGGCAAAATGCCAGCGCTATGCGCTCGCGAAGCCTCCAGCGATGCGCATGCGCTGCTCCACGTAGAATGTATCGCCTAATCCGGGTTGAAACCGACTGTATAAGATTCTAGCTCTATGAACCTGAGATCTAAAAGAGTGTTCTATAATTAAAACATTTTTCAGAATAGTTTAGACCACGCAAAAAAAAAAGAAATTGTGATTTTATAGAAATGATCAATGTACTCTTTCAATACGTTTGAGCGTGGCAAGCTCTCATATTGTTTTAGGGAGGCATTTGTAATCAGCGTAATTGTTATCCCTTACCAATATCCAGTCCCAGAAGACAGGAGAAATATTTTGATGCAGGATTGAGGATGAGAAATAAAGATTATCTTATTTGAATTAGCATAACGTTGTACTAATTTACACTGTTTTAGGCCAAAGTTCAAAAAACAAAGTACTGATATTCTCACAAACAGTTACTACATTCGTAATCAGGATGCTCAGTTACCCCACTGTGCCAACTCCTAGTGGCGTAACTTAAACTTTGCAAAAAATCGACAAAATCGATAAAAGTAACGAAAGATCTGAAAACTACTATGGTATTCGTAATCAGCATGCTCGAGTGCCCTTCTGTGCCAACTCCCAGCCCCGTGATCAAACTTTACAACAAATCGATATAGGTCGATAAAATCGATATCGATGGACGACGAAAAGTAGCCTATGACACCCGCCCCGCACGTATGTGTGCCAAGTTTGGTCCGGATTGGTTCCGAAATGGAATTTTCTATTCGGAACATACGTACACATCAGTGGCGTGCCCAGGATTTCGGCTCGGGGGAGGGGGGGGGGGCGGCAAAAAATATTTTCAAATGGAGGGTGGCGTCAGCCACGCACTCCGAAAAGTTTTAGTGGGGCTTCCCAAATTTTTGCGGGCTCCCAACCCCACGCCCCCGAAAAAATTTTTTTCTAAGGTTTTAAAAATTATTTTGATTGTTTACAAAAATAAGCAAGTCACTTGCACGTATTTATAACTTGTAAGTAACTTTCAAAAATTCGCGACCCGTTCTCGGGGGGGGGGGGGGACGCCCCCTCCCCCCCGCCCCTCCCCTCGGTACGCCACTGGTACACACATACATGCAGACAGACAGACAAACAGACATTCAGCTCTATATATAACATAAAGTGAAGCAAAGAAAATAAAATGGTCCATGTGTCCCTCTATCGACTTATTTATTTATTTATTTACTAGATGGCTTACCCGGCTCCGCCCGGCCCTGTCATTATTTTATTCGTAACTAGCTGGCTTACCCGGCTCCGCCGTATGTTCCGAATAGAAAATTCCATTTCTTAACCGATCCGGACCAAACTTGGCACACATACCCTTCGGGCCCCGGCGGGTGGCACAGTCCACTTTTCGTTATCGATCGATGTCGATTTTATCGATTTTTTGCAAAATTTGAGCTACAGGGCTGGGAGTTGGCACAGGGGTGTAATCGAGCATGCTGATTACAAATACAATATTAGTTTTCGAAACCGTGCATTACTTTTATCGATTTTATCGATTTTTTGCAAAATTTGAGCTAGGGGGCTGGAATTTGGCAGAGGGGTGTAATCGAGCATGCTGATCACCCCCACGGGGGTGATCAGCATGCTCGATTACCCCCTGTGCCAAATCCCAGCCCCGTAGCTCAAACTTGGCAAAAAAATCGATAAAATCGATAAAAGTAATGCACGATTTCAAAAACTAATATTGTATTCGGAATCCCCATGCTCACTTACCCCCCTGTGCCAACTCCCAGCCCCGCAGCTCAAATTTTGCAAAAAATCGATAAAATCGATATCGATCGATACGAAAAGTAGCCTATGACACCCGCCGGGGCCCGAAGTGTATGTGTGC